GCAATGTAATAATATATAAAAACAATAATAAATAGTATTTAAATTTATTTAAAAACTGTAATAGACTTATAAAGTATAAATGTAATATTCTATATTTTATTACACTGGATTTTAAATTTTCGCTATACAATCAAATATCAAAATTCATAGTGAATACATTGCCTCAATTATATATTCTAAGAAAAAAATGAATACACTACAAAATATAATATTTCATTTATGTATTAATAATTATAAATTCATTAATTGATGAAAATCATAAATTCAAAAGAAAATATTTAATTTATATACAAATTAAGGAAATTATTTGCAGTAAATAGAAAATAGAGTACATGTTTGTAGCAATCAAATACGAGAAAAATACAATAAATAATACAGTATTGTAATAAAAATTGCATTGACACGCGAGATTGTATAATCCATCACTCATAAAATAAAAAAATATATAAAGTGGTGATGGTATATATAAAATTGTGGTTAAAAGATATTACAACTGAAAGTTTCATTAACAGCATATATACCATCTATATAACATTCATCTGATATATTAAAAACAATTATATCAAATGACTTATATACTAAAATTGGAACAAATGGACGGGGTCAGTTAGATATTGTACAGTATATTAAATATTTAGTATTAATTTTATTAATAGTTGCATAGTATTTAAAAACGAATATAGATTAATAAATGGGATTTGAAAGGGAGATTATAAACTTATATGTATGTAAATATAGGTTTTAAATTTAAACCACAAAGTTGCTAATAAGGTAGTTACAGTATAAACAATATAATAATGACTCAAATATAGCAATATAATAGTAAATCTGCAGAAAATTTTTATTTAAAATTTTTTTAATATTTATAATGTAAATATGTTATATAATGTAGATATTTCTATATAGAATCCATGAATTAATAAAATATGAAAATAACGAATGTACATAAATAAAAAGGGCATTTTTATTAACTATATGTTTATATAATGGTAAAAATTAAAATTAATACAAGAAAAAAAAGGAAATCATAGAAAGCATTTTCAAATTTTAATTTACATAGAACTAACAATCTATAAAGAAAATACAACAATAAATAAATTTGATGAACATTAAATTAATGTTTAATTTATTTTAAAGATCAAACGATTAATATTATTAAATTAAAAAATATTTATATTTAATAATAAATATTTTGTATAAAATTTGTATTTTTTTCACCAAACTCTAAGATATAAATAATATAAATAGGATTTTAAAAAATAAATCAAAATTAGACATCGGAATCAAAATATAAACATATTTTCTTCCAATGCTTATAATATAGCGCGATTATTTTATCTTTATAGATAGGAAAAATAATATTTTAAGTAACTATCTCCATAAGCATTGAAACATATAAAGCAAATAATTAGAAAACACATTGGTTTCATTATCATATGTGAAATTTGATGGTTTACATTCCCGTTAGGTGAGTAAGGAAGATCTCCATTTAATTGTTTCATTGTGTATGACTGTGTCACTTTTAGGTAAAAACGTTTAACAATTCATGTTATCATATTATTTCATATATTTTTGAGATAAACTATTTGAAACACATATCCATCCTTTGTATTTAGATTAATTACGTGCATTATGTTCCATTTCTTTTACGTAACTTTGTTTTTCATCATTTTATCTTCCTAATAATAAAATACTATATAAATAATTACATAAGCTGTGCATGCACAACATTGTCATTCTTATTCATTCTTAGTTTTTCAGAAATTGAGACTCGAAGTTGTTCAATTTACATATTTTATGACGAAGATATGAACCTCCCCAATATTTGTGTTAGGCATAGATGGAAAATAACATTTATAAATAATTTATTGCTACTTCTTTTGAAAAGATTTAATAAAATCTAATGTAATTCCTGTTTTGTATATTTGGAAAATACAATATGTTTCTTTTATAAATTTATGATTTATTTAGGTTAAGTTTTAGACTATATATTAATTCTATACATAAAAACCTTATAGAATTAAAAGTTATTTTATATTTTAATATGTTAAGATATGTTTAAAATAAATACAATAGATTTTTTACTTTCTTAAATTATAATTTTATAATTGATTAAACATTAAATAACACTAAACAATTCAAATACAAGTCTGCTGTTATAATTTTTATTTTCAAACATATTTTTGACGTTTAGGTTGTTTTTTTAAAGATTTCCGAGTATAGTAATATTTTAAAAATAATAAAAATTATATTAATAATAAAAATTTCAACATACCCCGTTCTAAAATCCAATAAACTAATGCAATTGTGATATAAAAGTTGTGCAAATAGCTGCGAAGTCTTTTTTTGATGATAATCCGATTTTTCAAAAACTGTATTTATAGTTTCATGAATAAATGAAATATGCGATGTAATAGAAAAAATTGTGGAAAATACTTTAACACCTTCCTGTAAAATTAAAATACTTTACTTTAATACATAATTTAAATATTATATTCATTTATAAAATCCATAAGCTTATTATTTTTCTAAGCATTAAATAATTATCAATAATAAAGTATCTAAAAAATCTATTACATATTTTAATATATAAATATTATTTATTAATTCTATTTTTATTTAATTAAACTTTACTCTAATAAAAATATTCAAAATGAAATACATTCATGGTAAGTACTTCTTTAACACAATTACAATAATAAACACTTTATAATATTCAAATCATTCGATTATATTTACGTACATCCACATTTTGTTCTTCTTCAGCAACATATTCTTCTATGAAACTGTTTATTGCCTTTTTTAACTGTTCTTCAGATAATTCTGGTATATTGGTAGCAGAACTTGTTTGTGATGGAAATTTTGATGATGAGATCAGTGATAAACTTTGGCTTCGTGTACTTTCAACCATTGTGTTATCCCGATTATATGAACTAGTATTGATCTGATAAGTACCATTACGAGAACTTCTGCCATCTAAAATTGTTAAAAATCAAGTCATTTAAATATTCAAACAAATAAAAATTCAGAATTGTGGTGAATAATAACAAATATTGAATATTTTAATAAAAATGGTTTTAATTTATTTTAAAAACTATTTATTTCATTTTTACCAGATTGATTAAATTATTTTATGTTTTAATAAACTAACAGTTTCACGTTAAATAATGTAATTCTATATATACATAAATTGTATAACAATATTTTTGATTATTTTGTTTATGTTATATGGTTATTTTTTTTAATAATTTTCTTCAGTGCAAGCTCAATACTGGTTTCTCTGATAAAATGTGAAACTGATACATATTGACAATATAATTATTTTGTGGAACTGGTCATTAAACTATGTCAAAATCGACACCAATAAAGATATTTATTTTCCAGTAAAAGAAATATATAAATAATGAGTAAATTATAATTTAATATTTATACATGGATGTGATACCTTATTTTCACAATAATTGGATAATGTTCTATAATTATTTATCATTAATTTGTGTGAACAATTTTCTCATACATAGATATAATTAAAATTTAAATAATTGTATTTATCAAAGCATTGTTATTTTATAAATAAAACCAACTTTATGAAAATAAATGTATTTTTTAAAAAATACTTAATATAATTTTTTTTCTAGAATGTACTTTTTTAGTAATATTAAAGGGCTATGTTGATTAGAATAGAATTAAAATATATTTATTACAAGATGATAGTACGATATATTTTTCTAATATTATAAATAGATTTTATGTATGTATTGTATTTATAGTTTGTTTGCTTATATGTATTGCTTAAATAAATTAACTTTTTTTACAAATACTACCCTTTCAAAATATTTAATAAGATCATCTGAATTTAAACAGACAGATTTTTCGAATTTTCAGTGCCTTTAAAATCTATGTTTGAAAAACTAATTCAGTTATTATTAAGCCAGTGAAAAACTCTTGAGTAAATGTTTTTGTTTTAGTGCATCACTGATAACCAATTTTTTCATAACTATCATATAATGACATTCTTTTCAAGGATTTATTACGCATTCTTAAATTTTCCCACATTTAAAAGTATTACATCTATCTATACAAATCTTTTTTTTTTCATTAATGGCCAAGTTGCACCAATTAGAACCGATTATTTTTTCCTTGCTATTGAGAATGTGTTTGTAGCCAAAATATGCCCTAATTTTTCTCTTATGCTATAATTGAGAAATACATGAAACAGTAATTATATTTAAGGCAAATTTAAAAGAACTATATGCGAAGCCCAACAAGTAAGTTCAAACTAATACACCATACTTTAAATATTGACAAATATGTTCAACAAAACATTAGTATACATTCGTAAACATACCATAATTAGATTTGTATTCTGGACGAACATAATCTCTAGAACCAGTTGATTTCGACCTGTAAAATATATACACACATAAAAATGTTATTATTATATATTTTCTTTTCATTTTAAGAAACCGCCAAATTTAGTTTATTTAGATAGATCAGATCAATACATTACTAAATTTATTAAAAAATACTTATATTTTGAATATTTTGTTTTATTTAAACTATTAGATGCTTATATAAATATTTATAATTTCATTAAAACTAATTTCACATGAAATAAAAACTGTTTCATATCACTTTTTTAACAAAAATATACATGCAACAATTATATATTATTTTGGTTAAATCTAAGTAAATGAATCTTTCTTGCTTGAGAAAATCATCTTAGTTTTTCTACCCACACATCCTATTTTAGGATAGTTATTTTTTATATATCTATTATTCTTTTTAAATATCAAATTTCTTACTTAACTCGACTAATTTTGCACAGTTCCTGTACCTTAATTATTAATTTTTCTTTTTGTATTCTTTCTACTCTTTACTTGATACTATTCTGAACAATTTTGCTACAAAGATAGTTTTTTATGATAGCCAAAATAATGGTAATAATTTATTTAATAAAAACAAAATATGAATTTAATCAATGTCAATAAAATAATTTTAGTAAAAGTAATTTTCTTATATTTCAAGAAGGCAAACTAAGTTCTAAAATTTCTTTTGTATAAACTCGTTTATTAACACACGTCTTATTAATTAAAATAGTTATACATTATATTTTAATTAGTGCATAAACATAAGTTCAAAAAAGAGAAAACTAATTTACAAAGATTTTTTATTTGTTTTGATTCTAAAACTGTTTTTTGTCATTCTTCTAATGAATGTGTATTCTTATGAATTTTATATAAAAAAATAGTTACGAGCAAAATAAATCTAGTATACAAGTTATATCTTTTTCCATTTTTATTATTTTATATATTTATTCACAATTTTTTTTTAATATAATAACCAGCATAAAAAAATTAAAGAAATAATTAAGTAGAATTAATACAAATTAATCATATCTTTTTAAAATGGATTTTTTAATGTTTTTGTAATTTGTCTATCTCTTATATAATTTTAATCTAAAGATAGGATAAGTATTATTATATAACAAAAGCTGTTATAAAATGAATATGAACCTGCTCTTTGTCAAAATAATATTAAATAGTTAATAATTTTTTTAAATTGTATTTGCAAAGTTTTTATTAAAAATTTTTGTATTATATAATGTACATAATGGATTAAAATTAATTTAAAAAAAATCATTGCTTTGTATTTATAATGATAGCATTATAAATCAATTTGTAAGAATGTAAATTTTATAATTCTATTCATTGGCCATAATTTCTTAATAAAAATATCGATAAAATTATTATAGTGATGAAGTCTTTTCTAAAAGGAAATTTCAAGAAAATTTTGCAATTACTTTTTCAATAATTTGAACATGACAGCCTCAATTTTCAGATTACCATTTTCTTTACTTATTTATTATTGAAATGACAGTAATAACAATTTGATGTAATGACAGAATTCAGGAAATAAAGTGTAAATTATAATAATTGATCAAAGTCAGTCATTATATATATAAACTTTATACATCAACTTTTACAAACTGTTACAACTATGCAATTGATACTTTTATTCAAATAGTTCAATCTAATGTCAATAAATAGCATGAAGTGTGACATTATTTTATAATTATGACTAAATATCACTCGAAATACTAACAAGTTTTTCTCAAAGCAGCCTTTTATAATTGATATAATTACTAAATTTTTACTTTTTATAATATAAAAAACTAGTTCGTAAAAACATTTCTGTTTTTAACTGTTTTTCATTTTTTATATTTAAAATAAATCTTTCAAAGAATAAACATTTTCAAAGAATTCAATTTTATTACAAACTAGTTTTTTAAATATAATTTAATCAACAATTCAATATTACTCACAATGGAAATGTATTTATTTGATTTTACTAAATAGTTTAAAAATAATGTATGTTATAATAAATTTAAAAGCAAATATAACCTTATGGTAGGTATACAAAATTTAAATGAAAAATTCTTTTATATATATTTTGGATTTAATTTGTAGCATAATTTTTGAAATGCAAAGAATCAGATGAAAATAATAAAAATAATTTACCCAGATAAATGAATACTAGGCACTCTTTTGTCTGGTTCGGCAGTAACTTTTTCCAAATAAGCAAATTTATTAGGCGTCGTCATTTTAGGTTTCAACCACTGATAAGTAGATCTACTACCAAGTTGCATATCATCCATGGATGGCTAAAATACATAAAATATAAAAGAATTTGATTGATTTAAGGTAAAATAATAATTAATAATTTAAAAATAGAATAATTATACTAATAATCTACTAAAACTTAATAAACTTTTTTAAATCTTTCTATATGTAAATAAATCAATTTTAGTCTTGTATTGTGTTTATTACTAAATATTCAATCTTGCTTTTTGTACTTATAGAAAAAATTCTGTTTCTTCTGAAATTTTTATAATGTACTAAATATATTCTTCATTTATTTATTATACAATTTAAGGCTTCTTTCTTCATTATTTAGTTTATATTCTTGACAATATAAAATATTTTGCTATTTTTGATCCGTATGTAAAATACATAAGCATGTATAATAGCTACACAATAATTGTAATGGAATATAAAGAATAAAGAAATTAAAAAACTTTCAAGAAAAACAAAGCAATATATAAGATCATTTCATGTATAAATTCATTTGTGGAATATTTGAAATCGCACCAAGTTCTTGTTTAAAAAGTGTAAAATATTTTATATTTTTAAATAAGTTGCAAAGCATGTAATACAATGAAATACAACTCAATTTTTTCAAATTCATTGAAATTCTTATTCATATTCTTATACTAATAATAATAATAATAATATATAACAATTCAAAAGTAATTATATTTCAATAATAAGAAAATATTCCCAGTAAAAATAATTCAACTATTATCTTAAAAAATTATACAGGTTGCTTGTTTATTTCTAATTTGACTATAGATTTGTTAGCTGATTCAAAAAAAGAGACAGCAAAACAGTTGAAATAAAAAATAGGCCTGAATATTTTATATAAATATAAGACTTTTCCACTTAAGTATAAAAGGTCATTAGGTCTAATCAGAAGATATCAATAAAGACAAATTATTGCAACATTTTAGTAGTTTTTCATATTGAGAGTTATAATAAATTAAACCGAAAAATGAGATTTATTTTATTACAACAATTAGCAGTTATTAGTATTATTGTTAAACTATATGTTAAGCATTCTTTGTTATCATGAAATTAAAACTGCAGTTACATATATTTTAAAAACTTTTGATCATATATTGTCGTCAACTAAGTAACAATTTAAAAATTCATATTATAGATATAGAATATTTATACATATAATTTGCATAAGCCAAAAAAAAATTTATATAATAAAAATATACACATAAATTATTAAAGCACAAAAGTATTAAGATGAAATTGTTAAGTATTAAAGCAATAATATAATTCAATTTTTATTTTCACAATAAAATATATATACAATAACATAACATAGAAACAACGAAAAATATTTGAGCATTAAATGTTAAATAAATGATATCTTTAAATGTCACTAATTGTATTGAAAATTAAAACATTATAATATATATATAAAATTTTAATTGTAAAATTATAGAAAATTATAGAAGTAGAATAAATCTTGTTTATTTAATTTTATTTATTTTAGAACTAATATTTTAAATAAATTTAATAAAAATTTAACAATTAAAAAATTTAAAATCGTTTTAAACTATGATTGAATTTTGAATTATTATATTAAAAAGTTATTGTTAATGACCTTTATCACTTCTACAAAAATTACAAAGTTATAATGTCTTTAACATGTCTTTAACACATCTTAAATTTATAATTATTTATATTTTTTGTAGCCTTTAAAATACTTTTATACAACCATCATAAAATAATTAATTGCATAACAAAAAAGAATCATAAATATTCATAAGTTTTCTGTATGTTTCTTATTTTGAAAATATTAAATATAATTTGTACACGAACAATTTTTCAATTATATTTTATAATCATATAAAATTATAAAATATGATACAGACTACATGAATTTTTAAAATTAAACAAAATTATTAAGTTAATAATACAAGACCATAAAAAGAAATGATACTTATATAACATTTAAGCAAAATTTGTGTATACTGAAAATATTTAAAAAATAAATAAATAACGTAGGATTCTAATTTATTATTAATTTTAATTCATATAAGTATATCAAAGAATAATAAAAATTACCTTATGACATTTATAGGAAAGTTATAAGAAAAACAAACTAAAATTAAATGCGTAATATAACATTTATAAAAAAAAATGTCATTACCTATTAAATAAATGGGAATACATATCTTTAAATTTATACCAAATTATAAAGTGCCACATTGAAATCTTACTCATTGTGCATTATATACTATAAATAGTAGTAAGTAATAATATTATAATTATAGTATAATTCATAGTCCCATTTTTGCTTAGTAAATAAAAAATAAACAATTAGAAATTATGACCAAAATCCAAAGTTCATATATTCAAAACTTTTTCATCACTTACAAAATATTTTTCTTTTGTTATATTTCATTTCATATCATATTTAATACTTAATAGGTTTGATGATTTAACATCATGTAGAAACACAAGAAAATTAAGAGAAAGAACTTTTAATTAATTATAATCATCTGTTTTATTATCAAAATTGATATATGTGCTAATTTGATTTAAATTATATTAGTTATATTAGTGGATTATATATTTATTTTATTTATTATATTTATAATTATAAAAGTGGAAAGTATATAAACAGGCCTTACAGGTTTGTTTTTGAGTTTAGCTGCTTCCACAGAATAAACTTGTCTTGTTCTGCCAACAGGCTGACTCCAACCACCCTCTTCCATTGAACCCACTGCTCCACCTATTATTAACGAATATATATTATAATTAATAATATATAGTGATTATAATATATATATATATATATAATCACAAAGAATTGAACTTACGATTACGTTTTCTTTCATTAACTCGTTCATCTTTTCTTGGTGTATTTAAAGATGCATTACTAAGTTGAATATCCAATCTTTCAGATTCTGCTTCCCTTTGAATTTGGTCCATTGTCTTTGGATTACTATCATCTCTTCTTGGAATCCATTTATTTCCTCTTAAGTCTATAACATCTTGCAGCATAAATCGAATCCTTGAACTTATTTTCCCTTTTCTATTTGCAATTTGTTGCATTTGTTTGAAGTACTCTGAAAGATCAGCAGTCTTGGATTCTAACACTTTACCTATTGTTGTTAATAATTTACACAAGCACTCAAGGTTCTCTTCATCTACTTGTTTTAATAAGTGTCGAATACATTGATACATGATTTTACTAGTAAGCATGTTTTGTTTAAAAAGTTCGCCAATGAAACGAATATTACCAAGGGACTTGACACGTATTCGTCGTTCCTCTTCATCAAAATTCATCTGTAGCTCTTTTTTCCTTTCCAGATCTGCACATTCATCTACTTCTTTGAGTTTTTCATTACGTGCATTTTCATCTAAGGTATTTTTCTCAAATTCAGATTGACAGCGAGTTAGAATAAGTTTTCTAAAGTTTGCAACAGTACAATCTTCAGAATCTGCACCTGCAACTTGCATGTTGGATAGTTCTTTACACATTAAAGCATATGCTACGGAAAAATTTGGTTCATCTACAGCCTAAAAAATAAAAAATATTTAAATATTTCATTGAAAATAAAAGAGAATTAAATAGAATCTATGGCACTTCACTAAAATGTGTTTGAACTAATTGTAGGTAATAAAAATATAAAAATATAATAAAATTAAAGAATATAAATTAAGATTAAATCTAAAATAAAAAAATAGCTACATAATGAAATAATATATTGCATTTTTTAAATTATATTAATTAAAGCACTGAAAAGAATAACATAATAGTAGATTTGAAAATAAATTAAAATTAATATAAACACCTTCTCAAAAACCAAGTCAATTACACCTTGAAGTTTCTCTTGAGTGTCTATTTCCAATTCTCGAACTTGATTAACTAAAGTTGAAAATTTTTGTGGAGTCAATTTATTAAGAACACTACGAACTCTTTTATAAAGAGCCTCTGTTTTAGTTTGTTCTTCAGAAACTGAACCCTGTACTAATCTTCTTGGTTTCCAAGCATTTTCAGTCTCTCGCAGCTTTACATCTTCACGTGAAAAGGAAAGATGAATCATATTTGGTTTATTTGTCTTAGGTTTACTTATATGTTTTTGTTTAATGGATGTTGACTGTAAATAAAACAAAGAACTTAATTGTAATTATAAAATTTAATAATTAAAGTAAATCTTATTTTATTTTTATTACAACATACTAACTACCCCTACTTTTATAGCATTTTATATACATATAATAAAAAACATTAAAAATAAAATATAACATACCACCTTGGTATTGACGGAAGACTTGACAAATCCAGGAAAAAGAGAATCATGACGACCAAGATTAGAATCCTTGAACCAAAGATCTACAGGACTTCGTATTTTTGTACTATCGAGTACAACATCTAAATCTGGTAAATTTGAAGGCTTAGCTTTACTATTAGGATCATTTTGTAACTTCATTAAAAATTCCCGCCCATAAATTTTTTTCCCATTTGTATTTATAGGACTCCATTGATCATCAGAATATGTGTATTTAAGCAACGGTATTGTTTTTGTGATGACTGATGTTGAAACTGATTTTAAGGTATTAGAACAAATATCAGAATCCTTAAGTACACTACCAAGACCTGATATTTTAGAATTTTCCTCATTTTTTTGAGCTACAATAGACGGTACTATTTCTTTATCTACATTTGTCCTAAAAATTGAGATATGATCACAATCTTTAGCTATGTGTGCATTTACCAATACATCTTCTAAAATAGATTCTTTGTTATTTTTATTTTTAAGAGAAATTTCCTTTTGTATTGCAGAAGCACTTTTTTCATCTTCATCCAAACTAGTAATGTTTTTCTGTACAGATTGAGGATCAATTTCAGACAAATTTTTTTCTTTCAGAAGCTCATAATTATCACTATCTTCGATATTTTTTGTCGACTCACTATTTTCATCTTTGTTAATATCTTTCTGCAATAATGAATCATGCTTCATCTCAATTTTAACGGATGATGCACTTACTTGAATTGGATGAACAAAAGCATCCATATCAGTTCCCTCTTTCTCTGCACCTCTACGATTCAATTCACGACTTTTAACCTTATTCTTATTTTTTTGTTTCTGCATGGTTTTACCTGTAAAACGTTTTTAATTATTATCATATAAAAATTTTAATATGATTATCACAATATGTAATCATGTGTAACTATCGTTTTCGCTAGAACAGATAATAAACATAATAAATTAAATTCTATGAATTATTATTAAAGACATTGTAAGCTAATAAAAATAAGTTTCTTCATATTATCAATTAAATTTCATAAAAATTATATTATACTATATAATTTTCAAATGTTATTTAACCTTAAAAAACTGCCATAAGATATAAAATAAAAAATTTGCATAAACAATAGATTTATTCTTTGCAATTTATAATATACAATTACTAAAGGTTAAAATTTATATAGTTTTTGCACATAAATTTAAGCATACTGATAATTTGTTTTAAATGCAATTACGCATGCACACGTAAATGTGTGTGAAAATTTGTATGTAAAAAAATGTACTTACATATATTTCCACCAATGCTAAATTTGTCGACAAAATTGATAGTTAAAAAGAATGTAACAATTATTAAATATAATAATTGTTAAATAATTTTGTTAAAAATTTTCATCATTAAAACAAATTCACTGGCATTTTTTAAATGAACTTTACAAATATCCCGAACATTTTTTTACATTTATTTTAATTTATAGTAATTAAAAGTAAAAAATAAAAAAGCGTTTTGACCATTTTTATATAGTCGGATTAAATAACTAAAAATAACCCTACTTATCTAAACAAAATATTTCTTGAAATAACTTGCATTGGCTTCAGAACTAAAATGGTCAAATGGGAACATGGATGACGACAACAATTGGTTGTATGGAAGAAAAGAGTAAATGAAATAGACAGATAAAGAGTGAAATAACAACATCAAACGGGCGGCCGTAAGGGGTGGTGAAATACTAAGGGGAGAGAGAGAGAGCACGTGGAAACAGCGCCTGACCATTTACTAACATGGCTGCAAATGCACGTGCCTTAGTAGTGAAGAATAAAGAAAATGGCGACGGTACTTTCTTATAACTCATCTTTTACCATATGTTACATTTCATTATACGTACATGTCCGGCTATCGCCGAAATATTTTCCTTTTAGTTTTCACATTTACATAACACAGTGAAACTGTCACACTTATAGAATAAAAATTAAAAAAACTAAGTGACTGCACTTAAATATTTGAAAATAATTGTAGAAAATTGTTTAAATTTGTAAATTTATATCTTCACTTCTTATTATACGATAAATAAAAAAGAAAAATATAACACAATAAAAATGTAGTTAAAAAATTAAAACGAAAAAGTTGGATTAATATAAAAAATATAAAACTCAAATAAATAAGCAAAAAATAAAAAATTCATGTTATAATGTAAAGGGAATATAAAAAATAAGTAACATCAACGAAACAATAACAAACAACCAAATCACCAACGCGTGTTTGCCTTTTAAAATGGTAATTAATTCTTAAACCCGTTGGACCGTCAATTGTATTAAGTAACAAGATAAAAGAAGGAGAAAAGAGACCAATCGGTAGACTACGTTAGCATTCGGCTTTGATCGACAATATGACGTCATCCGTATAAAACTGGAAAACTTGACTGATTAACATTTTTAGGATTTAAAAAATATACTACGTATAATATACTAAATTTATTAATTAGTGTTAACAATAAACATTGGTATTGTTTAGGTAAAATATATACAATTACAGAATTTTTACAATTATACAATTTATTTATTTAAAAAATCTTAATTAAATTATATATTGGCTTACGTATATTTTCATTAAAATTTATAAGCGAAACAATTTTATTTAATAAATAATATTTTGAGTTGTACGATTATAAACTATTTACTATAATAAATTTTATGATGAAATATGCAAATACATCTAATTTAATGTTTATATTTTGCGAAAGTAAAATGTGTTTGTTGCACTGTTTACAATATGTTGAAGTTTAAAGTATGGATTCTGAATCATACAAATGTTGTTAGTCGATCCAGAGTAATGATATATAAAAAATATTAGAATTAGATAAAATATTGCATTTTTAATTTTATATGAAAAATAGAAAACTAATTAAAAATATATTTTCAAATTTACTATTTTTCTACGTAAATATATATTATTAATAAAATATTTAATTATACAATATTCTAAGGATTTTTTACTCGTTTTATATACCTTTTTTTACAAAAAATATGACAATTTTAACATTTTATCTTTACTTTTGAAAGTTTTCGTTATATAATGTTATTTTGATTCCTACGCTTTCTTATTCTTCATGACTACCAGATTGAATTGCAAAGTGAAATACTTTTAATATTCGATAATGTAAAATACTCAATTATAGGATATTTTAAATTTCTGTAAAGTTTAGATATTTATAAAATAAATTAAAATTCTTATGCTTCTTTAAAATTAACAATCGATATACGATTCAAAAAATTCTTAAGCTGAATGTTAAATATAGATTAAATGACTAATATATACAAAAAAATGAATTGTAATACTATTATGGTACTACTATATATGGTGAAAATAAACAATAAAAACATTGCTAATAATAGATTAAATGAAATATCTAATTATATATAATAATAATAATATCTAATAATAATAAATACTAATAATATGTTATTATTAAATTCAATGCAACTTATGAGTTCTATAAATATTACATATTATATTTTTGCACCTAAGAATCATTATTAGATCTAAAAGAAATGCTGCTTTATATAAAACGATTTAAAAAAATATCTTGATTTTATCTTATTTTGAATAAACATAAAATATCAAATATCAATTTAGGTAATCATTTTTCAATTCGATGATCTATAAACACAACTTTTCAGATAACAATTTAAGTAATTGTTATGCAATTATAAAATCTACTCACATTTCAGACGTCTATTCAAGTAATAATTGGATTAAATGTAAAACTTAATTTTTTATTTATTCAATTAAATATTTGAGTTGGTCTTTAAATAAACTTCAATAAATCAAAGAACCAATTTATTAACTTTACCAAGACAGTCTTTAAAGTTTCAAAATTTTTGCTTTGCTCCATCATGCAAAATATTCTATTTCAATTAACATTTAAAGTGTGTTAAAAATTGATTTGTGATAAAAATAAAGAAAGTCTTATTCAACAAAGTTTGTAAAATTTATAATAATTTTAATAATTTACTTGAATTTCAAATGGATAAATAATGCAGCAAAATAGTCTCGAAAAAAGTAGTACCAGAAATTCTTAATTTAAATTAATTTCAATTTACTTGTGTATAAATTTATTTTAATTTAGAATAAAATTATTGTACCAAGAACTATATATATATATTTGATAGTATATAATTCATACTAATATAGATATTAGTTACCGTTATATTTATATATTTAACATAAATTTTATATATAAAAAAGAATCGTTAAAAACTGCACTCTAAATTTTATATGAATTGTTTTCATATTTTGTAAAAAAGCAATTAAAAAACATTGACATCGTTCAAGACCATTGTTTAACAAACTAAAATCTAGTAAAATAAAGCACTTTCAATGATTAATCTATAGATGATTTAAGTAAATCTGTGATAATTTAATTATATTCTAAAGACTTATTCATAGAATCTATAATTAAGTATATTAATCGACGATATGGCTTTGTTAATGTTGGCATTGTTAAACACCTTGTAACTATTTTCATATTGCTAGTAATTTTTTAGGAAGCTTTGTAATCCAACTAAATAGTTTGATCAGCCACTTCTAGTTTCTCTTACTCTCAGTCATTTTTTGTTTGCGTAGATATACAAAGTGGCACTAATAATAATTTTCCATGCACTTTTAACCAACCAAATATATTAAATTTCATAACATATAATCATCAAATTGTAATTATTAAAATTACAAAAATTTTCAATGAAATTGATAAAATTATTTCAATTTAAATAATACACACACGAATTTATTTATATTTTAGTCAATATTAAAACATGATTCTAAATACATTTAAACATAATCTTGAGAAAATTTCAATAAATGACATATATATTATATTAAATATTACATAAGATATATGTATTATTAATTGTAATCAAAAGATTCTAAAATTTATGCTATTGATGTTATTTTGATTTTTTATTATTTTAAATAAATTAATGTATATATATATATATATATCTAATTATCATATAGGGATATATAACGATTCTATATATACAAAATTTACTTTCGTTTTGATTTTTATAATTTTTCTATTGTTAATTTGTAAGAACTTAATTAGTCTTTAATGTTATTATTGAATTTCAGATAGAATTTTAAACAAAAATAAGCATATTTATCGTACAATTTATAGCTCATTGTGAATAAGAAGAGTTTTTTAACTTTGTCTCACTGAATTTAATTGTATTTTCTAATGACATAAAAACGCAGCTCTATCTAAATATACTTAGAATGTTTGTAATTAATTAATTATTATTTAATTAATAAAGATAAAATTCAAATGTATAAGAAAAATGAAAAAAATATATAAACTAAAATAATTGTAAACGAAATTTTGCACTTATTTTACTGTAACCTGCCTAATATATAATATTATAAAGTTATATCTAACTATAAGAAATGATATTAAACTAGTTCAGCAATATCAACAAGCTCTATACATTTATTTTAGCAAATATTCTTAAATCCATAATGGATGAATTATTAAATAAGCATTAAATAATAATTATGGTTAATTTCATATAAACTCTAACATATGTTCAATAAATTTATAAGAGCAAGATAAAAATTCTATATTAAAAAGTATATAAATTTAATTGATGTTGACAACTCTGATATATTATTTATTACAAAAATTATAACATATAGTGTATAGTATACAATATATAACATTAGAAAAAATATACTTTCACGTCTAAACTTTTTATTTGAAACGTACTAATTGATAGTAAGTGATATATTTAGAAATTGGATTTTAATACCTTTACAAAATAATATTACATATTTTAAGAACATAGTAAACAAATTATTTTTGTTAATATTATTAGTGTTATTATAATTCTATGGATAAAATTAAGCGATTTGTGGACAAATTTATATTATTTAGTATAACTTCACATGATACTTGACATAGTTATATACATAATTTATAAAACAATGCCATTTCAGAAAGCGATAAATTGTGATCAATTAAAATTAATTTGAAATAAAATGAAAAATATAAAGATATATCAAAAACTTATTTAATTAATATGTATTTTAAAATTTGGTATCGTTTGTATAATTTATAGAGATTAAACTACTTTTATTTTTTTAAATTTAAAGTTGTATTTTATAATTATATCTTTTTTATTAGTAATTAATGATTTATCGATAATTTAAAATTGTTTTAAACTATTATATTTAGATTAGTTTTTACACAGTAATAAATAAATAATAGAAATGCTATTTATTACTTCTTCAAAATAACAAATTGAATATTTTAAAATAAAAATAAATAATTCATCAGTTTTAATAACTACTAATTAGTCATTTTATAAAATATGAATATAATTAATACGTTAGTATGTTGCATTTTTCTTTTTGTTAGAAATTATAATATTGCTTACTTACATACTACTGTATTTAATATTAATTTCAAATAATTAATTTTTCTTACCCTCTACACATTTTTGCTGATCATCAGTCTTCTGAATGTCTGTTTCAAGAGGTTTCATACTTGTTTCTCCATTAGATTTTTCATATACATCTTCCAAATTATGTGCTGTTATTAATGTAGGTAGAGTTTTATTTATAATTTGTATTTCACTATTGGTTTTCTCCAAATGTTTATTTTCGTGCTGTGGATGCATTAGCTGAACTTCAGTTTTTTTCTGCATATGAAATGATAAAATATTTCACAGTTTTAAAGGGTCAGTAGACAATCCGTCAAAAATCATAAAGATATACAAATAATAAACAATTAATTGATGAAATAGCTTTAAAAATTTTAATTAATACTTTAAAAATAGTTGGATTTAAGCATCTTTTATTATGCTAGTTGAAAAATCAATTTTTCGCGATCAAATATCTATAAAACAGATAATTATTAACTATGATAATTAATTAATCATTAGCGTGCAATATAAAATGAAAAAACGATAATTGGAAATGTTTAGATTAAAATTTGCTTCATTACCTGCTTAACTTTTTCCTATTCTATTTTTACATAATTGATGAGTATTTTCTTTCAAAGAACCATTAAGAGAAGAATGGTTTTTCAATAAATTACGATTTTTGTACAAATAACAAAAATGATTACTACTTCTTTAAGTATTATCTATATAAAATAAGTGTAATTTTTATATTTTTCAAAGTACTAAAGTGTTATTTATTTTCTTAAATTTATCTTAATTAAAAAGAATAATATTCATATAAGAAATCTTTTATTTCGTTCGTATAAATTCATATTTTCAAATTATCCTAAATATAAGATAATTAAATTTTTGTAGAAGTTTATAATTTCTTACTTTGATTTATCACTCTATTAATTTAAATATAATATAGTAAGAGCAATTATTTTGAATAATTCACTTAAAATATCTTGTTATTTATGAATTGAACAACCAAAAAATTATCTATTGTAATTAAAGAATATTTAACACGATATAAAGATAGCCGCTATCATTCAAAGAACTATATATATTAAGTAAATTGAAAAATTAATAATTAAAAAATATATTAATAATTAATTTGAAACAATTATATTTTATCTAACATTACAGGACTATATAAATTTCAAGTTAAACGAATTAATGTATGCCAACATGTAAGCACATATAAACAGTTTACAAATTAAAAGCATTAATGATTTGTATATCTCTCTATCATTATTTTTATATTCAATTAAATAACCATATTTATGTAAATTTCATACTACAAATGATTTAAAATTGCACAAATACCAAATTTGATTAAGGAAAATGTGTCTAAAAACCCAAAAAAAATTAATATTTTTTAAAAATATCAAATACGAAATTTTAATAAAGTCAATTAATCGTAATATCCCATTATTTAGACTTTAAAAACTAAAAGAGCGTAATTAAAATACAAGATTCTTATTTATCTTGCATTAGCACGTAAAATATGTATTTACATATTTATTTTTAATTGATTTCTAAAAAATGCTGATCATGATAACAATTAATCTATTTTTGCAATCCGCATTTGTCATGATTTAGAATTTCATACATTTTATTTTACCATTGATTGTATAGACATATAAAATCAATAAATCTATTTTGTTTTAATGTACATCTTACTTTTCTTGATTTGACTAATATCAATACTTATTTGAAGTATGAATCCATGATATCAATTTTGCATTTAATCATTTGTTAATGAAAATGTTAACTAATAAAACAAGCATTATTATACAATAACAAATTAGTAATACAATCAATATTTCAAAAAATTTGTTTTTAACATTTCCAAGGTCAAAATATTTTGTTTTAAACTACACTACTTTATATTTGAGCTATCTTATCACATCAATCGATGGCTTTCATTTTATATATTACATGGATCCTTTAATATTACTTTCAAACTAGTTGAAATAAAATTTTTAATATTTGAAAGTAATGCTATGAATGTAAAAATTCATAACTAAACTATTAATTTTTCATAACACTTTTGTAGTATATTGATTTAACTTTAAAAGTTAATTTTGTATGGAACAATATATTGAATCCCTAATATCCTCAAAAAATTAATACTTTAAAATAAAAATATATAAATATAGAAAAAAGGCACAATATTTCATTTATATTTGTTCAAAAGTAACTACTATTAAGGATTCGAATGTTACATAAATGTATTGAAAATAGCATTTAGTATTTTTTTGATTCTCATAAAATTATAATATTTTGTGTCCCAATAGCATAAATATAAATAATGATTTTGAGGATGAGTTATCTAATTGTATTATTAAGTTTTGTTGTAAGTTCAAAGTTAAAAAACATTGAAAGGTGTTTTGTTTTTTACAAGACTAATTGTTATATTTCACTAAATACATTTTCAAAAACTTTAAAGTATACCACCAATTGAGATATTAATTTTTTATATTTACATAGCTTAAGTAATATAAAATGTCTACTCACGATCACAGATGTACTATCCGTCGTTAGCAATTGATTTTCGAATTCTGGCAAATTTTTCTGTTCTTTTTGTGGTAATACCTGAATATTAAATGTATTTGTGTTTATAGAATCATTTTCTTCACTTAATAAATTTTTTGAAACACTGGATAATAAATTAAGGATTGGTTTTGTACAGTCAGCTGTAATAGAAGCCAGTTGTTTTTCTGATTGCAGATCTAAAATAAAAATATAAATATAAATCAAGGTTCTTTCGGTATTTTAAAACATTTTCATTTAATGTTATGTAAAGTAACTTCAATAAATATAATAAATATGTAATTATACAATTATTTAATTTTTAATTAACGAAACGATATTTTAAATCAATTTTAAAAACAATAAATATTCCTTTAATTTCTTATTTAAATATGCTAATATTAGTTTTATATTTAAAAAATAATTCTTGTTTATTGTCAATAACAATCCTGAACTAACACGAATTAGTCAATATTTTCAAAATTACTATATGAATCACGATTCTACTTTTGTTATTTCAACAATTTTTAAGGTATTATAACGGATATATAAAGTTTAGATTTTCAGTATAAATAATTATGATGTCTAATTTAATAAATTTAAAACACAGAAAGTCTATTATTTAATGAAAACAATTTTATTTTCTACAAAAACTTATGATTGTTCCACATAGAATATTAAGCTACAAGTAAAATAAATTAAGAGCTCAATCACAAATATTGTAACAATTATACTCGCTTTATTGATCACATAAAATATAATTACATTATTGTTAATGGATTAAAAGAGGAAACAATTTTAAACACCTTGTCTCAATATACCCAAAAAATTATATTTAACAAAAAATTTTTTAAAATAGAATTTTATAAGATCCTTATGATTTTTATTAATAGATTAATATTTATAAAATAAAATTTATGAAGCAGGTGATATACTTTTTTCTTTAAAAATCCTATGTTAAATTTTATATGTCTTCGTCATGTATGCAATGAACAAAGTTTATATTATGCTTATAACAAATCTCGAATATTTTAGTATTGTACTGGTTTTCGTTGTTTAGAGTGATTTTGAATCAATTCTTATATCTCGATGTTCTTGGAATAGCCAAAAATGGCATATGTTTACAATATTCAAGAACACAGTGTGGATTCGCAGATAAATGTTATCAAATCCCGTAAATATTGACTCAATAGAATCATGTAAAAGATGTTAGATTACATTAAGATGGTTTAACTAACTCAATCTCTTAAAGCTTGAAGACTTCCATTTAAACCTTCTGAAGGTGATATTTATTGTATTGTTTCAATGTTCTAAAGAAAAAAAACCTAATATAAATTATTGCTATATCTATTATCATCATCCCTACATCTATTATCAGGAAATGCAGTATGGACATCTAGGAAGATGCACAATACATATTTCATTGATACAAATTCAAAAACAACAGGAAAAATAATATTTTTTACTTCATTCAGAAGAAATTGATTAATCAAAAGGTATAAAATATTAACATTAAAAATATCATTTAAAATTAGAAGACGCATAGAACAATTAAAGTAAAATTTTATTAATTAAAGGATTTGAATTTATTATATATATTCTACTTACATTGTAGATTTGAAAGCTATGTAAAGTACTGATTATGTCCATTCTGAAATTGTATACATAGTTCGATAATAATAGCACGGTAAGTGCTTGACGTTAAGTTTTAAAATTGAACAATTGAGAATGTGTATTCTTTATGATACAATATTACTATTAAAACATCGTAATTTTATTATTTATTAGTCAGACTATTAGTGTTATTTATATTTTTAATTTTTTACTATTACAAGTCAATTCAAGATATTAAACCAAAATAATATTTCTATAATTCAAAAACTATGCATCTTTTAATGGAAATAGTAGTAGTGGTATAGTAATTATAGCATAATATTTAAGTAATTGAATAATGTTAAAAATAGATTTCTTTAAGAAAGAGTGAAGTTTTATCATAGAGATGAAATAAAAATTATGTAGTGAAGGCCGAATTCATAACTCTCTTTCTAAAAGATTTATTTCAATATCTACAAAAGGTTTTATTATATTTAAAAATACAAGATAAAATAAATTCATAAAATTATTATAATAAAAAATTCAATCCTAAACATTATGTTTTACAATTAATTAAGACAAAACTTAAAACATATAATTTATTTATATTTTATTCTACATTTCCTACGTCCTATTTACCATGTTCGAGTTTTTGTTTTTCTTTATTCTGTTTAATGAAAAATAAGCAATGAAAACCTTTTACAATATATAATAAACCATTGTTCTATTTTTAAAGATTTCTTTTGCAGGAAATATCAAATATTATCTTAATCATTTTTTAATCATAGCAAAATCAACATATGCTTACTCATAAAATGTAAATCATTATCTTCATCTATTTTTGAAAACAAAAATATACATAATTAGTATCGATATATTAAAATATAGTTTTTGTCATCACTTGCACTTTTGTCAAAGACCGAATTGTCATTTATATATGAATACAAATTTTTTTTTAAATATCTTATTATAGATAGATATTTTTGGTATAATACTGTCACTACCGATTTTATTAAGAAAACTATCTACATACAATTGAAGATTGAGAATGGGCGTATTATTGATGTCAGCATTATTGTTGTTACTATTTAAAATTGTTAATAATCGTCAGATAAATACTAAGTTCCTACTATGCAACAATACATCTAAAAACACACATTTACAATATATTCATATTTCTTGATGGCCATCTATTTCTATAGTAGCAATACATACTTTATTACAATATTCAAAAAACATATTAAACAGCGCCCTAAAAACAACCTTAAGTGTGCACACAAATGATGACAATGTAAATTGTGTAGTCATTAATTTTCAGTTTATTTAATACGCTCCATTTGTATCAATATCTATAAATTATAAAAATTTGTATTACTCAATCATTATTTTGATTTTTCTTAGGTAATATGTAATTAACAATATGGTTCAAATATTATTTTAAATATAAACTAAAAATATAGACATCGATAAAATTATACATTCAAGTACAAATAAAATATTAATAAAGTCACGAAAGTAATTCTCATAATTGTTTTCATAGTTGTAAAGACAACTAGAAGATTGATCCTTCCGACAAAAAGTTCATCATTCTACTGCATTCAGATCATATTTCATACATGTTTCATTTCAAGGTGATATTTGAAAACGTTTTGAGATCATTGATTAAAAATAATATTATTAAATTGAAAAATATATTTGCATATTTTTAATATTCGATTTGTATACACTTTACATAGCATGTATTTTTCACATCGAATACAAATCGAAAATTTGAAGTATACCATACAAACCTTTATATAATATAAAACTATTATAGAAATTTCTAATCATAAATAATACAAATGTCAAAACAGAATTTATTAGTTTTTTAAAGGATAAAATATAAAATGAAATTAATTAAAATTATAATAAATGAATAAATATGAATAAAGTAATAAAAATTCCTATTTTTTAACAGTTGAATTGATTTTTACTATATATTAAAGCCCACGGATATCATTTAAAAGAATGCCAAATTTATCCTAATATAAAATATTTTAAACATTATAGATAACCAAAACAATTCTAATATACAATTAAAAAAATATATATTAATTTGCATCAATACCTGTCTCAAGTGACTCAAGTTGTTCAATCTGCAATGTTGATCCAGTGATACTTTTTCTAGAATCAATGGAATCATGATTATATTGATTTAATTTGCTTGATTCGGGTAATCTAGATCGTACAGTTACTAAATTTTGATTTTTAACTTGTGAACATACAGATCCATTATCTATTTCAATAATCGATGAAGATGAAGCTGATTCTGATGCTAATTTAGCTACACGTGCTGCAAAATCAGCAACTAATAGGTCAGCATTACAATTCTACAATTGAAAACAATCATTTATTTTAATTTAGAAAATTTTAAACACATTCATATTTTACATTTTTTATATAACAATATAATTAATGGAAGTTATTTTCTTTAATAATGCCATTTAATATTTTTTTTTTATAATTGAGCTGATACTATATTCCTTTTATATTAATTATAAATCTATATCAGCTAGTCTTATAATTATTTGATCTATAATTCCATTTTACCGAATACGCATTAGTAATAAAATTTTAAAAATATAAAATCTTAAAAAGAAAAATTAAATTTGAATCACTATCTATAATTCACAATCATAGAATTCTGCTGTCTCTATATAAATCACTAAATATATAATCTAAAAAATATAAAATATATTTTGGTTTAATTTTGGATGTTTCTATACAAAAGATGACAATTATAATTCGTTTTATGTATATCTATTGCTATCATGTAACTTCGCTTATTTTGTGTTGGGTAATTTTCTGAAATATTTGAAACTTTATAAAATGCACCATCTATAATAAGATGCTTTTAAATGTTATTGTGTAATATTATGATATTTATGATTTAAAATTTTTACTTTTTGAAATTCTATTTTCGAGCATCATTTGTATTGTATTTTTGTATTTATCTTGATGTCTCCTCCTGTATAGTAGAAAATTTTATTAGATATATTCTATTATTCTAAATTCGTAAAATATGCTTTTATTTTACGTTTTATCATATATCATAAGTGTAATATAAGATTTATTTCTTTATATATAATTGTATAAATTCCAATTTAAAACAGTTCTTCAAACTCATGTACAACATTAATAACTAAATTATAGTCATTACTTTTTTATTAATTTTTATATAAGTAAAAATTGTCACTTTTATTTCTATGAATATTATCATTTTTATTTTATCCATCGAAATAACATATATTTTGTTTTAATAAATTCACCATATAATGGTAAAATGTATACACAAAATTACCGATACTTTAAATTATGTATAAATAATGTGTAATAACAATTACTAATTAAATTATGGAAAAATACATATATGCATTTCATTGTTTGTATTCTTTATTAATAAATATACTACTAAAAATTTAAAGGTAAATTTTAGAATTACCGCGAAACGAAATGTACTATAGACGCTAGAATACTTTTCTATAAATGTATTCAAAATTAACTATCTTTAGATAAACTATCTGAACATAAAACTGATGTTAATTAGTTCTTAAACTCTATTTGTTCTAGAATTCGTTTATGAAGTTCATTTATCGACAATTTGACTATATTTATTATTTTTTCATAAATATTCTATCTAATATATATAATTATATATGTAGTAAAGTCCATAAATATTAAAAATTCGTTGTTTTTTATTTTCATACACATCTTCGATAATCGATTAACTTAATGAAAATTAAAAGTAAATATATAACTGTAATATTAAATTAACTTTTTATTTAATATAAACATAAAATATTTTTAGATATTTTATATAATATTATACTTTTATTGCTGCTACTATAGTAAAACTGTTTTAGAATTAAGCAATAGTACTAATGGATTTCGATCTACATATAATGTAAACTTCCGACGTTGTTAATATTAAGACATTAAGGATATTAAGTATTAAATAATTAAGATATTAATGTTTACATTATTTATGTATACTATAAAATTACTAATATAGTTACTGACATATTAACTTGTTAACCTTCTATACACAAACGATATATTACGTATCAATTACTATAATGTAAATAGTAAAGTGTTATGATTTAAACTACTTCATTACATAGATAAAAAAGTAAACAGTTTGAAATTATGTTTATTAAATTTTCATGATATATTTTCTATCATAAGTCTTTTATTATTATTCTTTAATTTATAAAACGTGATATATTTTATTTATTCAATAAAAATCATATTTTATTGTCATATTAATTTAAAATTCTAACTGTGCAATGTCATGCTTTGGAACCATATATTATGCTGATTTAATGAAATAATATGACTATTATATATTTGATTTTGTTATAGTTAAGAAAATATAAATATAACAACTAAATATAAAAAAGTATTCATAATAAATATCTTCTTTATATTATACAAAACAGATAGTAGCATATAAATTATTTTTAATTTCGAGCAATACTTATATTACACAGCATGAAAGGTTTTATCTACGTTTAAATAATGAATTATAATTTGTTCTAATTTAATATTTATCTTGTTCTTCTACATCTTCTTTAAAATGTTCTACTACACACTTTCACTATGCATAAGTTTGTTATACATCATATATTCATTATTATTAATGTTACTAGAATTAGAATTAGGTTACTTTCTAAGAGAAAGTAATAATATATTTCGTAACAGAAAAGTACAATAATATTTTAACGTAAATATGACAAGAGAAACATTTATATATATTTCATATTTATATAATTACCATAAATAATTCAAATTGTTCCTAGCATTATTCTATTAATTTAATTTAATTAATTGACTAAAATAAATAATTGAAACTGATAATTCGGAATTCTAAATTAGTTAATAAATAAAATTTCTTTCAAGTATTAATTTTTTTTAGCATTATTTATTGTAGTATATAGTAGTATATAGACTATAAATTAGTACTTACTAATGACTGTGGACTTTCTCTATTACTAGATTCTCCACTTTGTGTAGTAATATCATCTTTATAAATTTCAGCACTAATGTTTTTGCCAGTGTTAGGATTAACTATATCTGTAATAGCCTTTGTTCTTGGTTTTTTAGACCTCGTTGATACATTACCAAGACTGTTATTAAAACCAGAATAAACATCTATAATTAAATAAAAAATTAAACTTTTTTTTACAAATTCTAAAACAAAATTTGATCATTTTAAAGAATAATATTTTATTTATTTAAATTTGCGTGTTATTCAAATTCATAAAATACCAATAAATTTTAGATTTACAAAGTTTAAATATTTTTAAATTATTAATTTATAGTTCCATTAAATATTATGATTACTTATTAAAGAACAATGATAGTTGTTTAAAATTACATATGTATTCATTTTATTATATATTTTCGTAACAATAGTTATTTAAAATTGATTAATCTTATAATTAATATTAGCATAATAACATTTATATTGATTTTTCTTTATTTACAAAACAAATTTCAATGGAGATGAATATTTCAAAAATATTTACAATTATTTTTACAGAAAAATAATTATATTTAATTTCTAAATTAGATTTATAAGATTAAAGATAAAATTATCGACTATTGAATTAATAGAATAATAAAATATAATATAATTGCGAACGATAATAGTAAATAATAATATATTAAAATAATACCTCCGAAATTATGAAAAATAAAATTTAAGATTCAAATAATTTGGGATATTCAATAAATGAAATGAAAATTTTAGTAAACAAAAACGAAGATATGAGAGCAATATAATTTCCGACAAAATGTAATGATATAAAAGGATTATTTTGACTACAAATAGTATTTTTCATTATAAAGCGGAAATCCGCTACAAATAAACAAAATAAATATCAATAAAGTTCGAAAATGATACCTAGATCCAATATACCAACATACGAATAAAATTATTGTATTCATTATTATTAAAAATAAATTAAAAAATTACCATTTACATAAGTATTCATAAGTACAATAACCATTATATTCTAGATATTTATAAGCATGATTGTTGATCATAGAAGTTAAATAAAATAGTTGAAAAAAAAAATATATAAAATTTAATGTTGAACATTGTTAATTTACATTTATATTCACAAGTTTTTTTTGTAGCTTACATGTATTTTATAAAATTTAAATTAAAAAAATTAAAAATTAATTTTCGTAAAGTATTAATAAAGTAAATATACAACTTGCAAAACTAATATTGTATTAGTAAGTACTTGTTCACAATTAAAAATTTATGGTAAAAACTAAACACTAATATTGTTATATGAAAGTTTTTATACATTATATGGCATGTAATTTTATAAATATAAATAAAATAGAAAAACCAAAAATTGAAGTGATATTAATTATAAAATTAAAAATGTTTAATTTGCAGTAACGAAGAAACAGCAAAATCTTGGCGATTCTCATCGTCAACGTACAGACTCATTATAGTGTGGTTGTAAAAAGAAAACGCAATAACAAGCACAAAAAGCAGATGTGTTGAATACTGAATTGAAGCGCTACCCCTTCCACTTATCGACACTTTTCTCCCACCAGGCAACTGCTGGCCGTAGTCTAATTCTAAACAGTCTTGATAATTAAGAATTTGAGTACTATTCATTACGTTTTTTTATTATCATTTGCAATTAGTTAAAGTAAATTGTTTAGATAAATTGTACATAAATATTTGTAATATGTATCTATTATATTTTGTTATCTATTTACAGTAATATCTTTCCATTTTTTACATTTTAATTTTTTTTATTCATAATTAAGTTTTAGTAAAATCCACAAATGATGGTTTCAAATAAAATTTATTTGTCTATATTTCATTTCTTATTTTATGTATATCAATACATTAAATTATAAATAACGTTGAACAGTATGATTAATTACTCTCATGTTCCATAATCAATAAGTAAGTTATTTGGTCAATAATCCTCAAAATTGGAAATGGATGCTGACATAAACTGAATTTGAAATACAATTTAACAGCAAAGATTGTATTTTTCCCAACTAAATTTCTTTGATTTTCATAATCACTTTGCTTCGATATATGAAATATGCTTGAATTAATTTATTTATATCCATAGAAAGCATGTCCAATGGGATTGCTTATTCTTGCATATCCCAACGTTCTTTCTTATGCGCTATAAAATTTTTGTAAATGTCAAAAACACTAGGAAACATAGAAATATTTTTCCAAACATTTTTCAAATTTATAAAAATCTACATTATTCACAAAGTGCAACAATGGAGATATACAAAAGATATACAAAAAAAGAGAGATATACAAAAATATAAATATTAGTTGAATAAAATTAAAAAAAAAAAAACAGAAATTCGTGTAGACTTAGATCTAACGAAAATAGTTAATGGCCATAGATTGACTTTCTAAAATCAATGTCAAATCAATATGAAAACAAAATAATATGATAAAACAATATCATAAAAAACAAAATGTACAAAATTCAATTTTGTAAAGTTGAATCAGAAAATAAAAACATGAAATAAATAATTAGAATAAAATCAGTGACGAAACATTCTCCATGTAAAGAGATTCAATGAAGCTGGTCCTGCTATATATGTATACATGACATAGAATTATAATCATGTGATAAAAATATTCCCAACATTATGAATTTGGTAAGTTGATTTATTTTTTATCAATATAGATAAACCATGATTTCATATAAAAATTTAAAAATCTATAATCGTGTGATCCCATATTTTTATCAGTTGTGATTTGACAAATAATTCTACAAATTTTTAATGACACGAGACAAAATTCAATTCAAATAATTAAACCGATCGGCAAATTGATAAACTAGGATGCAATCAACGATTAACAAACTGCATAGAGACGAAATCATTATACAATTTTCATGACTCATGAAGCTTAAATACGATGGAAAATAAAATTCTATATTCAGATCAAATTCTATATTAATAAGTTTTTTTGTTTTTATAAAAAAGGAACATTGACAATTAACTATTATAGATTTTTTAATCATATCGATTTTTAATAAAAAAATATATGCATACCAGTTTGCGGAAGAGATATGCTCATTGAATGCATTGCTTGTGCTTGTTGAGATTGTTGAAGTGTTCCTTGTGGAACAATTGTTGCTGCTTGTGCACCAGTTAATGGACCTGACATATGTTGATTGCCGTTATTGACAGTATTAGCATTTGTTCTATTTATATTAAGTGGAGCATTAGGTGGCTGATGAAAAAAATCTTGAAATAAAAAACAAGAAAATGATATAAGTTAGTATTTATTAAATTTTTACAAGTTAAAATTAATAAGAGAAAAATATTTTGAATATTCAAAATTACCGCGCTATTTTGCAATTCAAGTTACGTATTATTATTGCACTATTTTAAAGCTATTTTTAAAAGAGATCATAATAAAATACTCATATACAATTTTATTTTTTCATTGTTAAGGTTGAATTTAATTTGAAAAAAGTTTATTGCTGAAACTAAATTATTTATATTTATCATATTATTGAAAAATCATAACAAATGTCTTTAAAAAGCAGTCTTGTACAATCATATTTCTTTAATAATTGATAATTAGAAATATTCTAGGGCCCATGCTACACTTTATACTCCATATTTTTGGTAGAAGACTATTTATTTTTACAAGTCACTTACTATGAATGCGTATTACATGTACAACAAATACAATAATTATGTTACTGTTTTTAGAGTAAATTATTTTTTTAATAATCTGATTAATGTTGTGAATAATGCTGTAAGAATTTTTATAATTTTCAACTAATAAATTATTATAATTATTTCACTTGAACATTCAATTAGCAACTATGTAACAACAAAATAAAAATGTTGACGAATAAGGTTATAGATAAAAAGTGAGATATAAGATAATATTTATATGCAAAATAATATCAATTCTTTAAGATTTCTGCTAACGGTAAATTTCTTTATTTATAACTATTATTAAATTTATTATCATATTTTTAATTAGATGAATTATTTCTCAAAAACAGAACATTTTCATACATATTAATATATAATTAATACATAAACTAATAAATAATTTATTAATTGTTTAATTTTCAACGTATATTTATAACTGCCTAATACTTTTTAAATGGTAATGGTTCATAACAATGTTTAGATAAGCATCAATGATCCAAAGTAGATGTATTTCATCAGAGATAGGTCGTTTTCATTTATAAGCATCACTTTTAGTATTACCTTAAATATTTTTATAAATATTTCATGAGATTTAACGTAAAAATATTTTATACATAGTCATACATTATGATGTACAGTGTTGTCAGTAATATGAGACGTTAATTTATTTATGCAAATAGTGAATGTTTATGTTATAAAGTAATTTTGATAGAACAGTAAGGCGATTTTATCTTTCTAAAACGGTAACATTTCTCAGTGTTCCATCTTCTTTAAAATGTCTTCATGTATATAAGAATCTTTATTAATAAAGGGAGTTCTTGAAGATGTGTCAATATTTACTTAACCCTAAAATTATTTGTAATATAATCTTTCCTGAACTACTTCGTTTTTTATCACATATAAACTAATTTTGATTTTATAATTCAAAAGTGATCCCATTTGACTAGAATCTGTCTATCATAATTTTATATTGTATATAAATAATAAATATATGATTAGAGGCATTGATATTTTTTTAAAACATGCCGATTGCTCTATTTTAAGGTCAATGTTTTGATACGATATTTATTGTTATAATTGAATTATATAAACTTTTAGCAGTACATTTCTTTTGAAAGAAAGTTGAAATACATTTTTTTATTTTTATTCTATTAATTCAATTCTATGAAAATGTAAATGTGTATATAATTAAATAAATTAAAATAACTTACATCCTGGATGTTGAGCTCCATGTGCATATCCAAATAAATTTGATGTAAGAAGCGCATGGGTTTGATAAGGTTGATATTGAAACTGATTTTGATTTGTTTGATGCCTTTGCGGAGGACCAGAATACTAAAAATAAATATTAGATTATATTATATGTAATAAATAATAAAATTACATGTTTGATAGTTACATTATTTAATTTAAAAAGAAAAATTGGTTACTTCATTACGTTGATTAAAGTTTCTACTAAAAAATTCATTTAATTTAAAAAGATGAAAGATGAGATTTAAAAAAATGTAAGGTATGAAGAATAAATATTTTTTATAATATATATTTATATTATAATATATGCATAAATGTATTTACTCAATATTGTAAAATTTTTATTAAAATAATTAAACTATAATGTTTATCACGTGAAAAAACTACATAATGTTTGTTGCCAATACACATTTATTTTAAGTTGATGTAATATACTTGCATGAAGTATGTACATATATAAATCATAAATATACAAAATTCCATATTTTTATTAAATTTAATAATAAATCAAAGCAATATTATTTTAAATTGAACATTTTTATATTTTATCATTATTTAAATGACAATTTTAAACCTTCTAAATCCATTAAGCATATGCATTTATATATACTTAGAATAGAAACACAGGATATGTATAAACTTATTAAAGAAAGACTGATTATTAACTTAGATATCAACTAAAATAATTACTTTATAATTTTAAGATGCATGCAAGTATAATATACATTGCTTTTATGGATTTAAATCGAATTTACTATCAAATCTGAATTATTAAATAAATTAATATACCATAAAATATACTTTTAATTTGTTTTCTGGGTTTAAATTATTTCTGAATTGTGACCATATGTTTGATCTTAAAATAATAACTTTAACATTTTTGTTTTGTTTTGTTTTTGTTTTCACAATACTTTTAATTAAAGAACATAGAATCTAATATTACAACTATAGAGCATCCTAAAGTTTCAATAAAAAATTTTTTTATATCATGTAACATTTAATTCTTCTTTCAAGTAATTATTTTTAATAAAAAATTAATAGAAAATATATATTAAAAAAATTTTACATACTAGAATACATATATAGTTAGCAAAATATTTTTATTTAAAAATAAAAATTAAACCTATTTTAAAAAAAATAAAAATATTGAAAATTACATTTACACGAATTTATAATCATTTTATAATAGCTGCATTGTTTTTTGCAGATGTAAAAGGATTGATTTGTTTTGTAAATACTTAAATTTTAAATGCATTAATTTGAAAATGAAATACTCTAACCTGCATTGGCATTTGATTATTCATAGAATAAATATTTTGCTGATGTGGATTAGTGTGAAGGCCAGACACTTGCCCTTGAACATACATTGTAGAGGGTTGCATAGTTATACTAGGATGTGGATAGATGGCAGTTGGTTGCCCACCAGCACCTCCTACGCCTGGCATTCCAACCACTTGATTCTGATTTCCAGGCTGGGCACCTCTATGAGTAAGACTTCTTGGTTGTTGAGTTCTTGGACCAGTTGGATAATAATTCTATAATGAAATAATTCCATATTTCGTTTAAATACTTTAAAATCGTACAATTAAAAATTAGAAATAAAATCGTAATTAGAAATAAATTAAAAATTAGAAATAAAATATATTTATTTTATTTCTATCCTCCCCAACAAAATGTGCTAATATTTATTAACGTAAATATTTTGCATATGTTTAGAATTCTATATAAATATACAGTACAAATATATCCAAATTATAAAGTTATTTATGATAAAATAAAAGTCAACATTAATAAATATACAGCATATTTCAAAAATCAAAAACAACAAATATTAACAAATGCCTATATGATTTATTGTATACATGAAAGCTATAAAAATAAGGATTTGGAATTATATTTATACTAATCCAAACTTATGTACTTCTTACATTAAAATTATATAGCAACATTAAGTATTGTAATAGTGAATATTTTCATTGTATCACATTCTTAAGTCTACTATTAAAGGTGAAAGAAAAGTTAGTATAAAATAATAATAAAAAATTAATAATAGTACCATCCATCCTTCAAATCATTACTAGTCTTATAGTTTAAGCATACTGCTTTAAATGTTTAATAGATGTATTGCAATGAAAGATTCTTTTGATATCACAAATTTCAAGGGAACAATAAAGTAATAAACAAGAAATAAAAAAACGTCTTGGAAGATAACATTGATATTTGTCAAAACATAAATCGCAAATACAGCATATATGAAAATGCGTCTAAATAGACATACATGACTTAGATTGAAATTGTACCAAATTAAAGTAAGTCAAATATATAACAGTATAAAAAAAAAACTAAAAAAAACAAAGTGTCAGATTATCTATTTAAGCGATCTAATTCATTTCTTTATTAACAATGGTAAAGAAGTAAAAAGAAGTTTGGAATTTAAAGTAAATACTATGAAATCAATAATATCAAATAAAAAAAGTAGTTATAATCAGATTAAAAATTTCAAAACTCCAATCAACGATGTAGTCAAACAGAAAAAAAATGAAATACCTGTTTAGGACAGTACAAGAAAATATTAAAATTACTATTTACACCAATATGTTCAATAATAAATAGATAATGAATATATAATGAATAAATAATCATTATATTTTAACTACTATTTTATATAATTTATATAACGATTCTCAAATCAAATTGTAGTAATTCAAAGTATTTAATTTCTTAAAACAAATGAATAATTGTTTAGATCATTCATAAATATCGTTATAGATATATTTAAATATTTGTATAATGTATTAGTTAATTTATAAAAAAGCAATTACAATAATATTTTTAAACTCAAATATAATTAAAATTTTGTATCTAAATCAATGCATTGTATAATCAATTGTGCACTATTCTTTAACAGTATTCTTTAATAGTTCATAGAGATTTGAATTAACAACAAGCACATGCACACATTTACAGTTTATATTGTATTAAAATATAAAATTTTAATGATTTGATCAGGATTTAGAATTATATAAATGCTTACAAATAAAAGTATCAAAATGTTGCACATGTAAATAGATGTATAAAAATAAATTAAATTTCTTATACTATTGAAAATATGTAGAATACGAAACATTTAAAACTTTATATACATTCATATAAACATTTTAATCATTGCATATCTATTTAAGTATTATTAATACATAAAATGTACCAATAATATACTAATATAATAATAATGTACCAACATTCTACAATAAAAAATCTAAGTACTATAAAATCAATAAATACTGATTCTTAATAAATTAATTTTACTTTATATTAATTACCTGACTGGTTGATCTACTTGAATTTTGGATGTAAACTTGCTGAACAGTTGGTGGTTGGCTTTGCAAATGTGTTGGTTTACCCATTTCTTGAACAGACAAATTGTGCACACTAGTTGCAGATACTGTTGGTCCCTGAGCAGGCTGTGATTGGATATTAGATCCTGGAGCTATTTGAATTTGACCAGTTGTTGAAATACCTGATGTTATTACTGAAGTGGTCTGGTCTATTAATTGGACACCTCCTAAAGGAGGTCCTCTTCCTCCTGGAACTCCAATTGAACCCCCTCCCCCACCCACCTGCCCACCTGGTTGGGCACTAAAGTTTTGTCCAGGAACATGAAAATCTGATCCTAAATTAAACATAAAAAATATGGCATAATATTATTAAATATAAAATTCATGATTAAATGGTATGTTATGATATAAATATCAAAGAACTATTATTAAAACTTTGTTAATAATATAATTCCAAATGATACATGAAGAACAACTAATTTAACGATACATTTTATGATTGTTTTTCTATATTTTTTATAAAAAATATCTACAATTAAATTGATTATAGATAATTTAATTAATTTAAATCTTTTGATTAAACCCATTAAAATTTTATCAATTTTAACAATCAAAATATCTAAACATAATCTAAATACAATTATATTAATTTAACCAATAATATAAAAAAAAAAATTTAACTACTTACACAACTAAATATATAATATTAAATTTGATTAAATAGGTATGCTTTGATCTTCAAATATATATGAATAATATACATAAATAATAAAAAATTATTTGTAAGTATATTATAAAATAGATAATTGTACAATATACTAATTACTGTGTTAATCCATAACATTCAATTCAAATGAATACTTTAAATTTACTTTCCAAAATTAACTTAAACTTAATGTAAATCATATATTTGAAAAAACTTCAATTCAATTACAATATTAGTAATTTAACAAAATTTTTCTTTTAATAATGTCATAATTTAATTTCTTTGAAAATCAATTAATATTTTAATTGTATATAATTAATATATAAATAATGAAAATAATTTGTATGACTTTTTTCTATGAAAAATGGAGTTTATATTTGATAAAATAAATTAAAATTAAAAAATTTTTTTATTCAAATTAATTACCTAAATTGATTGGACAAATGAAATGAATTATTAATTTATTATAATTTTTTTCAAAAATCTATTAAAACTTAACTATTTAAATTATATTATTACAATCTCCATAATGTATACATATTATTACATAACACATTACAAATAATAAACAACAAAACAAGTCAAAGGATGGACGTATAATTATAAAATATATGTAGTTAATATCCATTTATGAATTTCAAAAGAGCTCGTGTATTTTAAAACTAAAACTGATTTTTTTTGTTAATATCGTATAGACAATTAATTAATATCTAAAGGATTCAATATAATTTTCTATAAAGTAACTATTATGAATTACAATTTAATTATGATTACTTATCATTCAATTCATGTAATTTGAAAAAATCTAGAAAAACAGATTTTTAATAAATAAATTTTACTTAATATAATTTTCATACAATTATCAAAAGAAAATTTAATGACTAAGTAAATTTTTAAAAAAATTGTAAGATAATGTTAAACTTAATATAAAACATAATAAAATATTAAAGCAAATTAGTTTGTTTTATAGAGTGAAATAAAAATATTGAAGTAAAAAGAAATAGGAAACAATAAAAAAAATAAAATGTAGTATCAACCTAATGAATGATAATTAAGACATTTTATTAAATATTAAAAATTAATATTGACAAATGACATAACATGAACCTGAAATAAATTTAAGTTAACTAGAATTTAAAATTTGTAAACAATATAGTTAAATTATACAAATTACTATTAAATAATAAAACTATAATTCAATAATTAAATAATTTTCCTTATATAAGACTAATTAACTTAGGTTCCAAGATATTAAAATATATTAAGACTACAAAAATTAATAAAATATTAAAGATAATAATAAAATAATATTTGGTAAATATTAATATATAAATTCTAATAAAACTAGCATTTGAACTAGTATTAGCTAAGTATTAGCATTGGGAGCCATATATTCTGAAATGATTTAGAAAAGTAACAAATAAATAACAATGTCAAAATATTACATCCAATAAATTAAGCTAACATTACAAAAATTGGTATTTTGTAATCAAATAATTAATTATTTAAATCATTATTACAAACTCTTATTATTAAGTTAATTTATTCATACTCCATTTATTTATTAATACAAAATCATGTAATAAAATTTCTTTTAAAAAATTAAAATGGTTATTCTTCAATACTGCAATATATACAAGTATTTAATAATTTGTAGTGTTAGATATTTATAAAAACATTAAATTTAATACTTGATCTAATTGTATTAGATTAAGAACACTAAAAATGAAAGAATAAATTCTTATCTATAATATTAATAATAAAAAATCTTATTAAATTTGAATAATTTAAATAACTAAAGCATAACATTATTTATATTAATTATTTTATTTATATTATATAAATTATAAATGAACAATTTAAAAAATTACAAAATTTACTCAATACAATTTCGTGTAATTAATGATATATTCCACCTTACTTATATGTAATGTTGTAATACCACCATTTTGAATTCTCTCATATGTGACTATTATAATAAATGAAATATTATATTTATGTAATAATCATACTACTTTGATAACAATGTTGTTTATATTTTAAACTTCATTTTGCTCATTCTCTTTTCAAAAATTCATATTAAATTTTTTATACAAATTTTAATTCTAGTATTATTAGATGGTGTCAATAAGTAAATTAAATATATTAAATACTTAATTAAAATTTCATTTTTATAATTGGTGAATGATTGAAAGAAAAATATAACGAAAACATCTTTTTTCATTATAAACTCTGCATAGGTAATGTCAATAATAATAGAAAATAATAAAATTTGTGCGTTAGATATCTAATACCAGTACAAATTGTAAGCAAAAATTTAAATAGCATTTTTAAAAATTAATAAAAAACATAAATTGGAGAATAAAAAATGTTTAAATATTATTGATTAATTAAATGATTTGAGAATATAATATATATAATAAAATATTTGACCTTATGCGAAAATACCAAGCCACGTGTAGTGTACATAAATAGATCTTTAAGCTGTCGATACTTGCCTTGCATACACGCACACAAGCACAAATGCGCGCACCTAACCGCACATTTCATATACGTTGATAAAATTGTAAATGAGTATTTATAATGTTCCGAAACTGTAATAATTTAGGTTATACAAAAATTAAAGCAACATATATTATTAATGTACACAAATAAAGTTTGACAGAACACTAAGCTTATTCAAAAGGTTTTATAAAATTTTTCCAGCTGTTAATAAGTTTCGTTTCATTCAAGCCAGTTAAAGTAAATCTAGTATTTATTCTTACTAAAATAATATTCTTAATTCGATTAATCGAAATAACAATAAATCGATTACAATCGATTTAAATTAAGGGTATGCCACAAACGTTAAGATCAGGTCTCCCATTATTAATATTTCAATTTCTAATAGAATTAAGTAAGAAACATGTTTTCAAGGTAAAGCACAATTTTTCCGATTATAACATTGCATTCTCTAAATTCAAATTTTAATTCAAAACATAACAAAAATATATAGTAAAGTTATAAATAAATTACAATATTATTTTTTATCTTAATTTTAATGAAATAAATTATGGCGAAGTTACAGTCCAGTAATGATATAAAAGAATATATAAGAATATATTTAATATTATATTTCAAGAAATTATATTACAATTTATATGTGCATATATATATAGTTATAAATATATATTTAATATTACTTATTGCACATGCTAATCAGCATGAAACTCTTGCTGCGCATGCGACAAAAATTGTTCAATAGCATATTGCTATAGTATTATAGTAATAAATTTCATATAATCGCATTCGATAATTCGAAGAGTCAATTACGGACCTATGCCGAATATTGCATCGAGGAAAATTTCATTTTATAAATCTAAATAAAAATTCATAATATATTTCCTTTTTTAACAGTCATGAAAAGCTTTATTTTTTTTTTAGATTTATTATTCGAAAAGGTGAATAAAATTTGTTTTTATGTTATGCATTTGTAATATAATACTTCAATTTATATTTACGTTTTTGTTTCCATACTACTACTGTATTCCATCAATAAAATGTTTAGTATTTATCTTCGATCAAACTTTTTAAAAAACTTTTATGTTTGGTTATTTCTATACAAAGCAGTAGTTGAGATATTTCGTTCTTTGACTTTCATAGAATTCGGTTCAGTTGAATACTGTTGAATGTTTTTTCATAGTGTTTCTTTATAATTAATCAGAAAAAAAGTATTTTCATTCAACATTTAGCTTTTGTCTTAATAATTCTTAATTCTATGCCAATATCGTGGTATCTATAAAAGTTACCTTTTGAATTCTGAAGAATAACTAAATTTGACTTATAAAATTTTATTTTCTAATTAACTTAATAATGCACATTGAGAATTTTCGTTTATCTACACAATTAAGAAAAATCTCGTCTCAATGGGTAGAACAATAATATTTGAACATGTGATTATATAAAAAATCAATTTATTACATTTTATATAATATTATCACATAATATTAATGAAAAATATTACCATATTAATAATAATTTTTTGTCTACTTATTGAAAAAAAAATGAACGACATTTTAAGAAATATGCATATATGCTGTATATATGCTTCTTACTTGATAATGTAATATCGTCCAAATAGTGTCTGATAAAAGCTGAAGTAGGATATAATATAAAATGGTATAGCATCATTTCAACATGTAGTTATCATTTATAAAGCAATCCGATTGAAAACTTTGTCAATGTGAAAATAATGTCAAACGTTTTAATTTCTATACGAACACTATTGTTTAAACATAAAACTACGAAAATATTTATACTGAATATAGTGATTTGATTTATAACAGTAAATATACGTAATTTCTTATTGTCTGTTTTCCCCAATTAACAATTTCTGATTTATAGTTTACTAAGGTACATATTTCAATAATCATAATTCTATGAAGGATCAAGGCAATCTCTGTGATATTTTAAAGTCAATTTAATATGAGAAACCTTAATTGATCAACTTTTAATAATCACTGTTATATTGTCATATGTTTACTTATTAATTTTTCTACATTATATTTCTCATACACTAAAAATATTGTATTAGCAACATTTGTTCATTCTAGGATGCTAATTCAATATTCTGATTAGTTACATATATATATATATATATATATATATATATACAGATATATAATTCTTAAATAAAAATTAAAAATAAATATTACATAATTAAATATTTTATTCTATATTTAAATATAAAAAGAAAAATAGAACTTTTTAAAATCATATATATATATTTCACTAAAATTTTATTATTATGTAATAATTATTTTTGAAAAATCATTAAATGCAATAGGTATTAAAAGACAATATTTTTTTACTCGAATTTTAATATTCTTGTGATTTATTTATTTTAAATGTGAAATATAAAAATTCTGAATTAAATAAAAGTAAATGAAAAAATCATATTATTAAGATGAGGACAAATATTTAAAAAAATTATTTTTAAAATAAAATTGATGTTAAATAATTGCTTAATTTGAAATAAATAAAAACTATTAATAATATATTTTCATATATCATATTTCTAAAAATATGTTTATGTTTGTTTATTATATTTATAATTCGTGCTTTAAGTAAATCAATCAGATTATATCTGTATGCGCATGCGACTAATGGATGCTTTCTCTAGTCATATGCCGAAATATACATATATTTATGTTTATAACGCTTTGTACTATATATCCATCGGCAATCTTTCTATATATTTAATTAAATTTTTTTAGAGAACTATTATTAAAATTTACCGATGTAAATATGGCAATAAATAACGTTTATTAAAAAGAAATTGCTCTTAAAAGGAAATCAATAAATCTCATTATTAATCAATTTTGAAAAAGAAAATTAAATATCTTTAAAACCTGCAAACAATCAAATAAATGCATTGTGTTGAAGACAAATAAATTTATATCATAATTAATTCCAATTTATCTTAAAGAATTTTGTTTAATTTTTACAATATACATTCCAAAATTGTTTTAATTTAATACATAGTCATATTTAGATTTGTAAGTATAATTCTTTCAAATTATTTTAATTGAATTACTATTTTATAATATATTTCCTATTTTAGAAAAATATGGAAGAGGAATATGACTCAATTGTGTTAGGTACAGGATTGAAAGAATGCATTTTATCAGGAATGCTATCAGTTAGTGGTAAAAAAGTTTTACATATTGATCGTAATAAATATTATGGCGGCGAATCAGCATCAATTACACCTTTAGAAGATTTGTTTGGGTAAGTTAAATTAATCAATGAATTCAATTAATACTCTATATTCATTAAATAATTTACAGATATATTTTTATTTAAAAAATTATAATGAAAATTCTTTATGTTGAATTTATATTGCATTGAAAAACTTTTTTAATGGGAGTATTGCATCTATGTTATACATATCTAATATTATAAGATATAACAAAAACTTAAAAAATAATATATAATTCACTTTTGATCAATTATATATATATATAGATATAATATTTTGATATGAAAATTATATAGAAATTATATGTTTTTTAATACATTGTAGAAAAAAAATATACAAAAGTAAAGTAAAATAATTACAGATAGTTCATGTGTTTTATCAATCTTTCAAACAGATACAAATATTTTTAATTTTATTTCAAACAAAATTCTAAAATGACAATATAAAAATATAGATGTAATGTTTGGCTATCATTTTTTATCTTAAGATCAGAAGTAATTGTAAATATATTTTTGTAATATATAAAATTATATAAATTCTTTATAAAAATTAATTTAATTTTATACTTCTATAGTAATACTACTGTATATATTCTATGGTATATTTTATACATTTATTTTAATTTTGTTATTATAGAATAAATTAGATTGTTTATATTATAAAATATAGATAATATGCTTTTATTATAACAAAAAAATTGATATTATGAATTCTTAGTTTATACTTTTGTATTTGTTTTTTTTTAATTGTGATTAAAAATATTTCTAGCAATATCTTATTATTTATTAAATGATTTGTATTAATTTCATAAAATTAAGCAAACTTATTTATATTATTTTTAATTTTTAGAACATTATTTAAAAAAAAAAAAAATTTTAGCATAGATCAATTGTAAATAATTATATGCTGAAACATATGAAATAACAAAAACTACATTTATTTAATGTATTCAGATTGCTTTCCGATTTATACTCAACCTTAGATTAATGATAAAAATTTAGTAACAATTTTTAATGAAATTAATCAAACATTGAGTAACATACTATTATTCTGGTATAGTTACTGCTCTAATTGAATGAGCGTCCAGACAAGTAATGTTATATGATGCATTTACACAGGCCTAAGATACACTGCTTTTCTTATAATGTAAGCATTTGCAAACAGTTTTTTTGGTATATTTAATTAAAAACTCAATAGAGATTATAAATTAAATTATAATCATGAACAATAATTAGCAGTTACTATTGTTTATCTTCTAATATATCTTTACAGAATATACAAAATAATTTAAGTGGAAAAATTAATCATTCTTTATTATATTACAATTATAAGTATACTAATATTTGAGGTAAAAAAGAAAAAATGGAACTCAGAACTTTTTTGAATATATTAAAAAAGGAAACTAAGTTAACATAGAGATGATGAAATTCATTATTTTAATATAAAATAGAGACAGATGGTCTTAAAGAGAAAACTCGCTGGAATCCAACAGGCTGTACGATCATAATTAATTTATCTGCAATAGCTACTGTCACTATTGGATTTTTGACTTAGCAATTTTCTATTGTCTTAAAAAATGTATTTAAATTTTTAATAAAATTGTAAAAATACAAATTTACTCATCTTTGCACATGTTAATAATCTTAAATTTTAATTTAATTTGGTTATTAATATATTGTTTTATTATGTTGAATATGAAGAAAGTGTTCACATATTTTTTCAATATTTTTATAATTAGTTCAAAAAAACCTTCAAAAATTCAACATCAAACAAATGAATTATTAAACTTAATAAGTATTCTGGATAAGTTTTGGATAATAATTTAATTATTGTTGTATATAGTCTAAAATAAATACAAAAATTTAATTGGTAATCATATTTAATTTAATAACATAAAAATTATGATTTTGGTATTTTTTTAATCTTTTATTACGGTCTCCAGCACTTTCATATGTATAATAATATACCTAATTGTTTCTATGATAAAAAGTATCATTAAATTATTAAAATAGTGTAAAGAAATTATATATAATTATTACACTGATATTTACTTTTGATATTTTTTTATAAATCCTTTTATAAAGATATTGGAATATTCTTGAAAATTCGTATAATAATCATCGAAATTCAATAACGAAATAACACGGAATATGAATAAGATGCTTGGAATTAAATAATGTTTCAAATTACTGATAAAAATTCGTCAAAAGCACTAAAATAGTATTCCATCCGTGAATTTAGATATACTCTATTAACAATTAATAAACCTAAAAAAATGAAAATCGAACGATTTAATGAAGATGTGATTGTGAATTAATATACTTTCTATGCTCACGGTATTTTTATATTTACACACATTATCATTCGATTATATTCCCGATAATCGTATCATAGAGATTTCAATCTTTTTTATTCACATACATTATAATTAATTTTAGTAAGAAACATAAATAACATTATAAATATTTAAAATCACCTTAATATATTAAGGTAAAAAACGATTAATTTACACTTACATAAATATCATTATCGATACTTAAAATACTTTCATACTTGTATTAAAATAATATAAATAAAAATATCGATTTGAGTAGTACTGTCACAATTTCATACATGAAAAGCAATGTATCTTGTAATCATTTTGTTTTTTATTTTAAATTTTAATTTAAATTAACATTTTTTCTTTTTTCAACTTTAAGATTGAAATTATCTGTTTTAAATATTACTTTTATTGTTACTAATATATAATTTATTAAATACATATTTATAAAGCATAAAAAATCATACTTGTAAAAATTTATATAAAATATTTAAAACCATTTAAATTTCATAATTTATTTTATACTGTATTTTTATCAACTAATTCAATAAATAAATAAAATAAATATTTTTATTAAAAAATATTTACTTAAAATTATTAATATTTCATAAAATTTTAATTAATGCATACATTTGTTTATAATTGTAGAAAATTTAAAACAGAAACATCTGATCAAATTTATGGTAGAGGACGTGACTGGAATGTTGATTTAATTCCTAAATTTTTAATGGCCAATGGATTATTAGTAAAGTTATTAATTCATACAGGTGTCACGCGCTATTTAGAATTTAAATGTGTTGAAGGCTCTTATGTTTATAAATCTGGAAAAATTTCTAAAGTACCGATTGATCAGCAAGAAGCTTTGTCAAGTGATTTAATGGGTATTTTTGAAAAAAGACGATTTAAAAATTTTTTAGTGTGGGTACAAAATATGCAAGAGGATAATCCAAAAACATGGGAAGGATTTGATCCATTTAAAAATTCAATGAGTGCATTGTATAGCAAATTTAATTTAGATAAAAATACTCAAGATTTTACTGGCCACGCTCTTGCTCTTTACAGGTAAGTAATCATTTCCTAATATATAATTCAAGTAACTATATATTAGTTTTATATAAAATATATAAACTGTGTAATATTTCAATTATCTTTGATATTTCTTAAGGTTATATTTATTTTCCATATTTTTAATGATTGTATTAATAGACTTTTAAATAAATATTTTATATTAATATATTTTTAATTTTAATATTTTATAAAATTTAAAAATTCTACAAAAATTATTTTTTTAATCTTCTATACATACATTAATATGTAAATAAATTTATAATTATTTTAACAATATTTAAAAATAATCTAATTAGAATTTCTTAACTTTTCTGACTTAAATTAAAAATAACAAATCACTTAATTTATTATAAGTTAAAAAATATAATTTTTGTTTTTACAGAAATGATGAATATATTTCCCAAAGTGCAATAGTTACTATACGGAGAATTAAATTATACAGGGATAGTTTAGCACGATATGGAAAATCACCTTATCTGTATCCAATGTATGGATTAGGTGAGCTTCCCCAAGGATTCGCTCGACTCAGTGCTATTTATGGTGGAACATACATGCTAGACAAACCTGTAGATGAAATAATAAAAAAGGATGGAAAAGTTGTTGGTATTCGATCAGGAAATGAGACTGCAACTTGCAAACAACTATTTTGTGATCCAAGTTATATTCCTAATTTTGTAAGAAAGGTTGGTCAAGTGATTCGTTGTATCTGTTTACTAGATCATCCAATCCCTAATACAGGAGATGCACTTTCAACACAAATTATTATTCCACAAAAACAAGTAAGCTTTCTTTTTTTAAGAAAAATTAAGAATAAATAAGTTGCTAAGAGAAAATGCCATAAAATAATGTATTTTAAGACATCATTATAGTTAAAAAAATAAGAGTCATATATAAGAAAAAAAGGATACTAACAAACTTGAAAAAAGTATGCGTTTAATTTATAAAAAATGATATGTATGATAATCTACAAATTACTTGCATTAATATACATGATATAAAAAATATGCAAATGAATCCTAAATGAAATAAAAAATAAATATATTTACATATTAATAGCTATTAATATATATATGAAATTTACAAATGGATTAAAATTATATATACATTATAGTTGAGAAATGTAAAAGTACATTTTAATACAATATATATTAAAGCTTTATATACAAATCTTTGCAAACTAGAAATAAACAAAAGATTAAAAAATAATATAGATATTTACAATGAATGGATTATGAACAATTAAAAAAACAGTTAAATGAATAATAAAAGAACGTAAAGTTTTAACATTTTTTTAATATAAATATAAAAGGGCAATAAGATAAAAATTTGTAATTTATATAAATAGTATGTTTCTATTATAAGATAAAAAAAGGTAAATTAAAAAAATGTTTAAGATAAATTTTTGTAAAAAAAAAACAAATATATTAGTATTTGAAGTGAATTAATATCTAGGTTATATTTATTTAAAAGATGGAAAATTATTAATTCTGTAAAAAAAAATAAAAAAAGCAAGGATATCAATAAGCAGTACTTGTGTCTGTGACAAAGTGAATATTAAAAACATAAATATAATTATTACTGAAATATGAACTAAATAGAAGAATATTTAATAATAACTCAAATAGGTCAGAACAAAATTGAATTATATTATTTTAACAATCAAAAAAATTTAGAGGAAACAAAGGTAAAGAATCTTGAAAGGTAATCAAATATGATTATAAATTGTGCAGTCAATAAAAATATGTTCGAATTTGAGGGTTTGCTTTGTGGCTCGAACTGCCAATTCAATAGTTCATTGGATTAGTCGTAGCGATTTGAAGGAAAAGGCACAAGCGGAAGGGCGGAAAGTACTATGTAATATATGTTTTGAGTTAAGATATTCATTATTCTGGTTTATTAATAATTATAATGCGGTTTATGGTTGCTTTAATTAAGAGAGAAGAAATTATTCTATTGCAGTGGTGAGAGTGCTTTTTTGAAGTGATGGAGATTACAATGGATGTTGAATGTTGGATATATGCTGATGTAAAGATCAGCATGAATAGTCGACCATGCTCATGAGGTGAGCATGGGAGAATGATAATAGTAATCAGTAGTGCTTAGCAGAGAGAGTAAACTCTACTCAAACGGGGGAGAATGCAAAGTCTCTGGTAGTTGTCACGTAAATCAACGATACCCAAAGGGGGGTATGGGAGTGTTAGACAGCTGGTCACACGCAAGAACAATAAATGATGTGCCTTCGAGTACGGAAGGACTTGGTACAATGGAGTTATAGTCGACTATTATTATTTGTATGATATTTGTTGAGCTGCAGTCTACCCTTGACGGTGTAATTAATAGGACTGGGGAGGTTAACGAATGCTCTCTGGCATGAAGGCGCTGATAGAGCGTACTGCACCACCTGTCCTCGGTTAGTCTGACTGGAGAGGTGTACGAACGTTCTCTGGCATGAAGGCACTGAAATAGCGTACTACGCCACTTTCTGAGATGAGAAGTGAACGAACCTCCTCAGCAATGACAGCACTGAGGGAGCGTACTGCGCCACTTATCCTTGACTTGGATAAATGAATGAACGATCTCTGCGATGATTGTGTTGACAGTGTACTGCGCCACTTTCTTTTCAGACTCGATATGAAATGTGGTTCGAGCGTAAAAGACTAGTTTGGAGAATTAATGAGGAGGGTGTACCTTAGGACTACCGACAATGCATACTGAATGACTGCTTGGCGAATGCACTTAATTCATTACACTTTTGGTGGCTTCACTAATGAATTACTCACCTGTTATTGCAGTTTCTGATAATAACGCACGTATATTTTGTAGGCAAAGTGTCGAGCAAGCGGCTAATATTCGTAATCGCAAGTTATAACTGATACTTGATAGTTGAATTACACTGGGGGCAATAACAGATGAGTGAGCAATAGGTAATAGTACAGTGAGCTATAATTAATAATTGTGTAGATAGTAAACTACATCGTGAGCCAGGTGCGTCGCAACTGAGTGGATGTGAAAGATACAGTGCCACTGAACGTTGCGTGCTGCACTTCAATATTCGCGTAACAGCGCCGATGCCTGTTGATATGTCGAAAATCGTAGTGACGTCAGAGAACGAAGCTCTAGAATATTCGACAAACATCGAAGGACATGGAATGTTCTAGAAGTTTCATCGGCGTTGCTATGCGGAAATATTGTCGTATATTCCAATTTAAAGCGTAGGAAAATTCCCGAATTCGCTGAATTGTGTTTATAAACATGAGTGTCCGAGAGCTTGTAAATTTACCAATTTTAAATTTGCGAAGACTTCTTCAATCCCGAACAAATTAAATTAAATTAAAAAAAATAAATGTTAATGAAGCTCAAAAAAATAAGAATATATAGAAATTTTTGTAATATAAATAAGGCAAAGATAGAAGAGAGTAGAAATAATATAAAAAACCATTAATATAACTAAACATGAAATTGTATGTAACACTAAAACAGTAAAATCGAAAAAAATTAAAAAAAAAATTAAATTAATAAATACCAAATCGATAAAAAATTTAAATATCAATTATATATCGAAACAATATAATGAAACAGTTATAAGAAAAAGAATGCTAGAAATTGAAGTGTAAGGTACTGAAGTATTTAAGAAATTAGGAGAAACAAAAATATATATTGAAAGAAAAGACAATCGAAATTATGTATAAGTAAAATAAAATGGTATATTGTATATAGAATAATTTATGACTCGATCAGTTCTATAAGATAGGTTTTAAGCTTGATAAATTTTTGCATCTCACAAGAATTAAAACGTCAGAAAATAAAATTCGGAAACCAAAACCTTATAATTCGCGAATTGAAATAGTACTTAGTAACTATATTGTTAGTTATTTACTATGTTAGTTACTATGTTATTAGAAACTATGCTGTTCGAAAGTGGCATTATTTCCTGGCTCGAACTGCCAGTGTTTCGATAGCTTTAATAATTTAATAATTAATAGCTTTAATAACAGGATTTACTTCTTATAGAAGAGTGTAAAATCTGTTTTCTCAATAATTTGGTTGCTCCTTAATGGTGACGATGTCGTAGCCTCTGCTAGTGTTGTAAGGACTAGCAGAGATATGCGCATACTCCTGTGTACGATGCGTGGCCTTGAAATGTATGTATGAACATACCTGGAGACTATGCTTGTTGTGGCAGTGTAGTTTCTTATCATGCAGTGAGCACCCTTGACTGCTTGTAAGTGTAGCGCACTTGAAGATTGAACGTGTACTCCTTGGATGGCTTCATTGTGTGATATATCTGAGGGACTGGCGTAGGGAAATGTTGAATACGTGCACGAAAACTGAAGATCGTTCCGTGATGGCTCAGCTGAGAGATACTGACCGTTCCATGGTTTCTTCACTTAGAGAGTTCACTGCAAGAGAGCGAGGCTCGCCGCGTGGTTGCCTTTTATATCCACGCAGCAGCTTACTTAGCTAGCCACAAAGCATCGTTGTTGCTGCACTGGATTCTTACTTGAGGTGCAGAAAGAAAACTCTAGAAGTTTCAAGAATTCTAAGAAAAAAGGAAGGTGTAAGAAGTTTGGAGAATTCCAAGCGACGTTACTGCTCGAAGACCATATAAACATTGTAGGCTATTTGAAACCAAAACATAACAAGTATATAAAAATTCTCATACAAGTGTTTACAGAGACTTGAGCTAAAGAGACTAGCGATGCCGATAGTTACCGGTCTTGGAAGTTGCTTTCATCCCGAAGAACTTTACATGATATAAAAAAGAGAAAGAGGTTAATCAATATCTATCGCACCAGATAAATCAACAAATCATATTAAAAGTCTGTATACACCAATAATGGGGAATCCGTTTACACTTTTAGGTATACTTATCGCATTTGGGACAATACGACACCACTAAAACATTAATATTGGTAACGGCAATATGACTATAAACTTATCTTTATTTTATATGCCATGATTATATTTAAATAATAGTATATTTGGACATTCCTAAATTACCAAAGTTAATTTATCTATTTATCTCTATCAATCTATCTTATATTATTCTATCTTTAACTATTATCTATCTTTATCAATGGATTAAAAAATGAAATTAAAATATAATTTATTTTTCTTGTGGGCGTGTGGATGAAAATAAAATTGTATGTGTATATGCAAGTAGATTATTTGATCAATACTGAAAAAGTGAACATTGACATAGATTAAAATTGTTTAAATAGACAAAAGATTTTTTTCAAGCAAAGGATTCATTATTCATATTAGTCTATTCCCGTATTGGATTGAATTGAAATTGTTATTGGAGATTTATTTATTTTTTCTTGCTTGTCTTTTCAAAGCTAAAACTATTGGTAAAATTATTTAGGACCTGTCATAACTATTATATTTTTTAATTTTTTTGCCTATTTAGTTAGGCATGTTCAATTGTGTACGCTTAATATCTTTTATAATACATATATTTTCAGTTAATTTAAAAATTTAATTGAAAATATTACATACGTATATATATACTTACTTAATATGTGTTATACATATAATCATCGTGAATACATACATTTTCGATATATAGACAGGTTTTAACAAAACAGCACTTTCTGCATTTTGTAGAGATACTAGTATTATTAAGTGCGCATCGTCATTTAGATACAGATAATAAAAACAAGGATACAGATCATGCAGTCGTTTTCCATATTTTATCTATTTTATAGTAAAACGGCCATTGTTTACAAATAGAATTATAAAAAATAAAACTTATGATGAAATCGTATCTTTACTTGAATATTAATATATTTCTATGATTATATTTCAACAACGAAATTAAGAGATTGAATAGAAAGGGGATAAAGAAAACTTAAATTTTTATGCATCCATTAATTAGATCGAATAAATGACTCCTGTCTGGGATCAGACTGAGAACTTCCCGGTGATGTTGGGTGGAGATGTTGCTGGCAAGTGGAGGAGGCAAATGCAATTATTCAATTCTACAAATAGTATATCTTGGTTTTTCCTTTATTAAATACAATAATATAATAATAGTGGTATAAAAATGTATGGATGGAGAGTACGAGTGACTTATGTATGAAGTTTCTTCAATTTTTTTACGTGCTGTCGAGAGTGTGTATACTCTCACTAGTGAGGCGTGAATCCTTTCTTTCATGAGAAGTGTCGCTGCTGTAGCCGGCACACACTAAAGGACCGATTGGGACGATGCTGCTGTAGCCGTCGATGTGAGCGTGAGAGCCGCCACTGTTGTAGCCAGCGCGCACTAAAGGATCGATTTGTATGATCTGCTTTAGCCACCGGTGTGATCTGTTGACGTATGTTGTAATTATAGTTTCTTTAATTTCACTCTTAATTTATGTTTGCACTAGTGCTTCTTGAATATAAGTTTAACGTATTCTGATAGTTGTGGCGTCACTATTGGTTTGTTAGATTGCTTGTTACTTGATGATTAAGTATTTGTATAGCTACAGTGAGTGATAGCTGTAGGTTGTAATCTTGAAAATAGAATAGTAACTCGTGGTGACTACGTAATTGTTACTGGCACAGTGTGCTGCGCATCAAGCGCTGCTTTTAAATATTCCTGTAGAAGCTTGCGATGTCGGCAGCGCACCGGTGCCTGTTGCTATGCCGAAATTTGTCGTGACGTGAGTAAAGTATAGCCATGGAAGGTTCATCGGCATTGTTATTCGGAAATATAATCGTATATTCGAGTTTTCGTCGTAGGAAATTTCCCGAATTCGCTAAATCGTGTTTAGAAACATACATGTCCGGGAGCTTATACCTCTCCCAATTTTTAATTCCGGTTTCAACTAGTTCAATCCCAAACAACTCCAGGTAATGTTTATTAAATTTGTATCATTTTCTTTTGATAATATTACCTATAAAAAATAAAATATTGTAATATTTATTTATTTTTAAATATTAAATTTTTTATTAATGGTATCTTAATAAACCTTAATAAAGCATAAAAAATAGTTTCTTCAATTTAGTTTTCATTAATATGAATAATCTTCTACAAGCTGAAAATAATAATTACAAACATGTAATATCTTTAAGCTTAAAATGTCCAAAAATAGAGGAATTTTAGTCTGTGTTCATGTATTAAGATTTAAATATTCTTCGTGATATCTGCAATAAAAATTTATATGGCTGAAAATATAATTGAATTTTTATACCACGCTGTAATTAATTTGTTTACCCTTATATATTGGTCGTTATAATGATTGATTACTCGAGATTTAATATTTTATCAAGACAAATTTAATAAATTTATGTATTTTTTAGAAGGCATTATAGAATTATTTGATGGTCGGTAAAGTGAGTTACTTAGTTAAAAAAATTGAATAAAAACTGTTTCTAAATACTTTCACTGTTTATTGTTTCAAAATGGGTGTACACAATATTTTCTATTATATCTGACTATAACAAAATATTCATCATCACAATGAATAAGTAGAAAGAAGTACTTGTAGAAAATGAATTTGTGTTATGTATAGTTTTAATTTACGCGCGGTAGTTTTCGGCATGTACTTTGCATTTAATAATTTGTATATTTTAATTGTTTTATTTGGAAACTTTGTAATACAAATTTAGGTTGCAAATTTAGGCATGTACTTCGTATTTAGTAATTTGTATATTTTAATTGTTTTAGTTGGAAACATTGAAATGCAAATTCAAATAATAACGAAAACTAATATGACGGTTAGTACTTTCATCTCTGGATTAGGGATATCTTCTCGTCAATAACAAAACACTGTTATAGGTAAAGTAATACTTCTATCATTGCGCTCATAGTATCGTTATTGTGTCAATATTCATGTTCTTAAATCGATTTGCAAATTATTTAAATTTTATCGGTACATGAACATATGAAATTAATGTACATATGTCAATAGATGAATACATATTCTGAGAAACTTTATCTTGAATAATTACAAGCTTTTGATATACTAGGCTTTATTAGTGTTTCTTGTTGTTTAATCCGTTGTATCACTTAAAAGATGTATTATATTTTCGCCCACAAAATACAAATTTAACAATTATTTTCGTTCTAAAAAATAAATTTTAGTATTGTAAGCAGTTAAGGACTTTCAAATCATAAAGAAATCGAAATAACCAATAACTATATTAATTTTAATTCATTTGTTAATTTTGATGATTCTTTATTAACACATTTTATATAGTTTATTAATATTTAACGTTTATTGAATATGTACTTTTACTAAAAACTAATTGTAAATTGTTTCGCCTCGGAGATAAATTAACGTTTATAAGACGTATAAAATAAAATTTAATAATATTTTAAAAACCTAAAACTCTTAAAAATTTTAATGAAATAATTAAAATTTATGACTTTAGAAATTTAAGAACTCAATATAATTTTATACAAATAGGAAATAGATTTGGTGTTTAATATATTGTAATGTTCTTCAACCTTTAAATACAATTTTAATTATGTAGGTTATAAAAACATTCTTTTAATTTTTTAATTACAGGTAAATCGTAATTCTGATATATATGTTTCTTTGGTTTCTTACACTCATCAAGTAGCTGCTAAAGGTTGGTTTATAGCCATGGTTTCTACAACCGTAGAGACACAGAATCCCGAATCTGAAATTAAACACGGTCTTGATCTACTTGGCCCTATAAAACAGAAATTTGTATATGTATCAGATTATTTAGAGCCAATAGATGATGGAATACAAAGTCAGTTGTTTATTTCAACTAGTTATGATGCAACAACTCATTTTGAAACTACTTGTTTGGACGTTCTTAGTATTTTTAAAAGAGCAACGGGAGAAGAATTTGATTTTGATAAAGTTAAACAAGAACTTGATGATGAAGACCAATAGTAAAACATTCATTAAAAAATATACAAATATCTCTAATTATTATCTATATAGTTTACATACATCCCATGCTGTGTCAATGTGTGTGTACATCTTATATACACACATACATTAATTTTATATACAATAAAAAAAAGTATAATAATAAAAACATACAATTTTATGTAAGAAGCATTAAATGAAATTAATTTTTGTATAATAATTTCTTAGTCATTACAATTTATTTAAAACTATTATGCTTAAGAATTCTAAATGTCCTTTTAGAATATATAAAAAGATCCACAAATTTGCATGTTGTATTATCTTCCTATATAATAATCATAGTTACAATTATTATTTTATAATGGTATATAAACATCTTAAAATATAAATGTAATGATTAATTTATAATGTTTTATTTAAATTAATTCTTTCAAGTTATAAATTGTGATGATTTTAGTAATTTACCAATCATGTATATGGAACATATTTTTTACATAGAAATTTAATGAAATAATTTCTTATGTATATTTCATTTATAATTATAAAGTTTGTAAATTACTTCTATTAACAATTTCTATAAAGATTTTATATTTGTTTTAATAATTTATAATATAACTTTTCTGCATCAAAATCATTAAAATTTACTTGATACCAATATATCAATTAATAAAACTTATTAGAAAAGATTAGAATCAAAACTGTAACAGTACGATAAAAATTTCATGAATATAATGATTAATAAAAATACAATTCATTTAACAGAATCTCTAAAAAATATTGAGATTCATAAATATAATTCAGTTTTCTGTTCTTGACAACGAATCAATGAGTTAGTAACAGTTCTCACAGAATAAAGATTTTTTAAAATCGATCCCTTCCCAAACCCATAGTAAAGAAGTAAGCTAAAACTACAGCTTCATTTAAAAATAAATGTTCAGAAAAACAAGTTTAAAAAATGTAAGATGTGGAATTAAAATAATCATAAGAGAAAAAGTAATAAAACTAACATTGTTTATAAAGAAAAATGTTATCAAATATAAATTATGTTGACAAAATACTCGCATATAGAATTAACATTTGTACAATTGTATAACATCAAGTTAATATCGATTTTGAAAAAAAAACCAGTGATAAAATAAATTTATGTTCTTGGTGAAAATTGAAACAAATTTGTAATTTTGTGTAAAACATCGAAACTTTAATGTAATTCTGCAAAGCAAAGTTGTTTATATATTTAGTAAATAACTCAATAGAGTTAAAGTATTGAATTACTATGAATAAAGACTATAATTCAAATTAATATAAAATCTGTTAAATGTTAAAATACAAAAATTCTAACATTACAAAGGATCAAAGCACATTTAATATATAAATATTTTAAGAATTATTACACCGCGGAGAACGAACTCAACCACTAACTCGATCTGGAGTCATCAAGAAGGAAGAAAGAAGCTCCCTTGGCAGAGTCGGCAGTTAATTCCTTTGTGCCGCCGCATAGCAGCGCAAGGTGCCATATCCACCTTTCTCTGAGTAGACTTCAAGGATCCAGTGCCTATACGCACTTCCTCAACAAACCCGTTACAGAAGGTACACTCAATAGTTTCATATTACTACTCGAGTAGAATCGTATATATGATCGTATGTAAAATGGTTGGATCAGAGCATATCCATCATTTTACTGGTGGAACAGTCTGAATATGTGAGAAATTAAGGCTTCGATTCAGTAATCAACAGATTTTTTGTCATTATTTAATAGTTTGGATGGAGAAGGTTGGAGGTTGGAAATCTCCGGGTCCTCTTGCTGTAATACGCTTGGTAGAAAATTACTATACTGAGATGTGAAAGATCGTAAATCCTTGACACTCCTTGTATAGTGACACGTATGGTGTTTTAAATGCAAGTCACCTCTTGATGTATAAATATAATGGTTCAATACCTCGATGTCTCCCTTGGTAGTGCGTGCTGTCGCACTTATCGAGATTTAGCGAGCATTGGCGCCTTGATTCAGAATACAGTACATAAGTCACTGACGTTTGAATGCTAATAAATGTTGTGGCATCTTATAGTACAGCATGTCTCTTCTTAGTTGAGTCAAAGAAGTGCGTGCGCTTCGACGTGTGCTTTTTAATATTATTTCCGAAAATTTGTTGTAAAATATGACTAACAATAATTAAAAAATTGGTCATTGTTTAAAATTCTCATTTAATTTTTCATTACTGTTAAGAAGCCAGGATAAATAAGATATTATACATCAATTAATAAAAACAAATAAAGTTAAACCATTTATCTTTACAATATAATTTATTGTTGAAGATTTACGAAACAATACAATTTGTAAATTAATTTGAACCAAGATTGAGTTAAAAAATAAATAACGGTTCTATTATAAAATAATATTTATAATTGTATTAAATTAATTATGAAAGATTTACAGAAAATTGGGTATCAATACGCAATATATATATTTACATTTAATGAAGCCTATATTATCTTACTTTTCTAACTGTACTATAATAGTCGTAATAATCAAATTTTTATGAATATTCTAATCTTTAATCTTTTAATATTTAGTAAATGAAATGAAAATTTGTCTATTGATTTTATATAATTACATAAAATCCTAAAAATAAAATAAAACGTAAATCCTCATTCACGCCTGATCATGGGATAAATTTAGTTTCTGAAAAAGTGAAATTTTATAAACTTAAAATAATATTCTTTTATGTTTTTTTTAAGTTTTAAAAAACATTTTTCATTAAAATTGGTTAATAACAAAATTAGGATTCATTTTCTTTGTTTTTGTTAGTGTCTGGGATCAGACTAAGAACCTCCCGGTGATGTTGGATGGAGGTGTGCTGACAAGTGGAGGAGGCAAATGCAATTATTCAATTTTACAAATAGTATATCTTGATCTTTCCTTTATTAAATATAATAATATAAAAATAGTTAATGATATAAAAGTGTATGAATGGAGAGTATGAGTGACTTATGTATGAAGTTTCTTCAATTATTTTACGTGCTGATGAGAGTGTGTATACTCTCAGTTGCGTGAGGCGTAATTCATTCTTTCCGGGAAAAGTGTCGCTGTTGTAACCGATGCTTACTAAAGGAAGACTTCAGTTGCTGGTGCTTTAGCCGTTGGTGTTCCGTTGACGTAAGATGTAGTTATAGTTTCGTTAATTTCACTCTTAGTTTGTTTACACTAGCGCATCTTGGATATAAGTTTAAGTTTTAGTTTAACGGATTCTAATAGTGTGGCGTCCCTATTGGTTTGTTAGATTGTTTATTAATTTGTGATTACGTACTTGTATGGCTACAGAGAGTGACGACTGTAGTATGAATGCTTGTAGATAGAATAGTAACTGCGTAATTATTACTTGCACAGTCAGGTGTGCATCAAGCGCAGCTCGTAAATATGCTTGTAGGAGCTTATGACGCTGGCAGCGTTGTATTATATTTATTTTATCATTTTAACTGTTGCTATGCCGAACTTTGTCGTGACGTCAGTAGGATATAGCCTTGGAAGGTTTATCAGCATTGCTATTCGGAATGTAATTTATATTTGTATTGTATCGTATATTTGAGTTTTCAGCGTAGGAAATTTCCCGATTTTGCAAAATTGTATTTATAAACGTAATGTCCGGGAGCTTATACCTCTCCTACTTTTGTATTCCGCTTTCATCTGCTTCAATCCTGAGCATTCCGCCCGTCATAATCAATTCATTAATGATTAGATTTTTTGTCTTCTATGTGGACTGGCAGTACTGCTAGAATATGGATTGGTCTCGTGATTGTGGTAGAGGCGGTATTTAGTGTGACAACTCCGGTTTGTCAGTCCTTTCCAGGATGTAGTTTAATAACTGGCGAGGAACCACTTACATGGTGGTAGTCTTTGATCAGTGATGAGGACCAGGGATCCAATTTTAATTTCATTTCTTGGATGATGCCACTTCGATGTTGTGAGTTGTTGTTGTAGATAGTCCATTGTGTCCAAAACTTTTGAACTCGCTGTTGTAACAATTGCCATCTGGAGATTCGAAAATTCGAGTATTCGGGATTATCGTTTAATGGTTGTACTGGACGTGAGTTTAAAATGGCCTCAATTTGTGACAGCAAGGTCATGATTTCTTCGATGGTTAACAATGTCTCTGTCGTTGAGCGTTTTAAGTGGAACTTGATAGATTTTACTACAGCTTCGTATTTTTCTCCCATGTGAGGTGCTGCCGGTGGATTAAATTCCCAACGTGCATGGTCATCGGTGTGTATGTTTGTGATGTGATGGTGTTCTGTTGTACATTGTATGAATAGCTTTTTTATATCCTTATCTGATCCGACGAACGTTGTTCCACAGTCTGAGTGTAATACCCTTTGGATGCCTTTGTGGCTTGAAAATCTTCGATATGCTGCAATGAATGCTTCCGAGGAGTTATCGCTTACCGCGTCGCGGTGTACTGCGGATATAGCTAGGCACACGAACACGCAGATCCAAGCCTTGTAGGTTTTGGCTTCTCGCCCTTTCCAGGTCTTTTTTGTCAATGGACCAGCATAGTCAACGCCAGTATGGGTATATGGTCGTGAAGGTGTTACTCGCGCGAGGGGTAGTTGACCCAGCAGCTGGCTGGTGCGAATTCCTCTTTGTTTGGCACAGATGCCGCATCGCAATATGTATGATTTTATAGCTGGCTGTCCTCCCAGTATCCAGTACTGTTGGCTAACGTGATTTGGGTACATCTGTGAAGTGTTTTGAAGTGTGCTTGTTGAATAACAAAATTTGTAAATTGCGAGATTTTTGGAAGGATAGCTGGATGTTTGTTGTCCTCTGCCATTGAAGCGTTCATCAGGCTTCCGCCAACTCTGATAATACCTTGTGCATCGATGTAGGCAATGAGTCTAAAGAATGCGTGTGAGACGGGCAACCTTGTTTTAATATCAATCATTTTAATTCGTGGAAGAAGTATGTGTCTTGGGTCGCTCGTATCCTCTGAATTCTTGCTTTGTTAGCTCAATGCGTATCAGCTGACTTCCTAAGGGCTCTTCCCCTTTCAGGCATGCAATGAATCTGATGCATGTTGCTGTTATTCTCAACAGCGTACTGAGTGACGAGTAGTTGTTAATTATGCCCCACTTATAGTCGGGCTTATCAGTTTGTTACGATTAATGAGATACTTGGACGAGCTTCTTGAATGCATTGTTTATAACCTTCTGTCGGTTGTGTTGGCCATGAGTCTGGGTTTTTTAGCCACGTTGGTCCTGTCTACCATAATGGGTGATCCTTGAGAAGCTTAGTTGATAGTCCTCTGGATGTGCAGTCTGCTGGTTTTGATGTCGATAGATGCTTTGTGACGAGGCCGTGTCAAATGTCTCGTAGCATTAGTTTTATGACGTGTTTTTGCTGGACACTTGGACCTTTTTTCTCGCCAGATGCGTTTATGAATTGTATTTTCTGTTGATATTCGAAGTTTTCCTGAATTGTTTAGATTTAGTTAATCCGAGGCGCGTTTGAATGTTTATTCCCAGAGTAGTCGAGAGTTCGCTTTTTTCGGAACTCTTATCTCAAATTTCCCAGATGTCTAATGAGCTGGTAGTTTTCTTACATTCTCGAACAAATACAGATATTTATTTTTTACATTGTTAAAAATTCACGAAGCATTCTGACATTATAAGTGTTATAATTAAAAATGAAAATGTTTCCGGACTAAAAAAAATATAAAAATCCTCTTCAACATTTATCGAACTTATACACTACTACAAAACTACTTATATTAGATAGTTATGCTGTAATATTTATAGACTACCTGTATAATGAATATATAAAGTTTTTTTTTTGTATAACAAGAAATACTGCTGCATATACAATTTTCAATAAGTTTAAACTAAATCTACTTTAGTGATTACGTACATGTGAATCAATAACTATATATTGGTTTTTAATAATTTAGGATACGTATTCTTATGAATGAATTTTATATATTACCATCTAAAAAATTATATATAATAACATATATATATATATCATGTTATAATATTACCAACTCAATACCACTCAAATAAATTAAAAACCAAAATTTCAATGTTAAATTATAATCGCTTTATAAATTTATTTAAATTATATATAATCTAATATAATTCTTTATATACTAAATCGTGTAATACTTATTACTAATTGCTAAATAAAACAAAAATAATCTTGAATATAGGATGAAAAAATTAAATATCTTTTATTGAAAGTTAAATGTGTAATGAAAATTTATTTGTTATCCAAAATTTATAATTAATACATTGCTTAAATATTTTTGTAGAATAATAAGCTATATGAAAGTACAGAAACATATAACAGATGACCATATTTCAAATTTTATTATAACTGACAAATATTATATATGCATTAAAACAGTAAAAACGTGTATTGCTAATATGTATACCTTTTTATTATTTACTTTTGTCTATTTAAATTTCTTATTTTAATCATATCCACTGATACGCGTTCTGCAATTTGAAGATAATTTTCGAATGCATTTTGTAGTGGTTCATATACCTAAAAATGTATACATGAAATAATTTTTGGTTTAAAATATTCATTCTTGTTATAAAATCTATATATAAAATAAGATTTATTAAATCTAACCTATTATAAATCTATTATAAAGATTTATTAATTTACATAGAATATAATTGCTCAATACATTATGATAATTTATATTGCTTAGTGTTTTAATACTCGTTTCTGCAATATATTTATAAATAATAGGTATAAATTAATATGGCTTCGATTGACTTTATCGAGAATTTTGATAAAACAATTACGAAAACTTTAATAAGATGCCTCGCGTACATCTTTTTTCATTTCGTTTTTGTAACTTAAATTACCAGTAAATGTTTGTTTAGTTATTATATATTTACAAGATTTGATACAAGTATTATTTCAGATATTAAAAGAATTTTGAAATAATTTGACTTTGTAAAATATTATTTGTAGTAATGAATATCACGTCTCGATATTAATTGTTTGATATAAAATATTTAATGGTGAATAAAATAGAAAAATATTAAGCCATAACATATTTATTAAAAAATATCTAGTCAATAATAATAAAGAATAAATAATAAAATATTTTACGCAATTATAAAATTAACCTGCATTATGTACTTAAACAAATTTTTAAAAAATTTTATTTGAAACGGTGTTAATTTATCATATTTATATTTAACATTTTCAATATTATTGTTCGGGATTAAAGTAATTTCCAAGACCAAATGGTCTTGGAACAATCATGGAATAATAGATAAGGGTACCTCAAGCCGCCTATTTTTCCTACGAATTGAAAACCATGCAGTCTCGGACACACTTGTCAACTACTAATGCATTTCATCGCCTAACAGCTTACATAAATGCACAAGAAATTATCAGACACGGTGGAAGACCAATGAGAGCATCAATGACGCTAGAAAACAAATACCCAGACATCCTGACACGATACTCGCAACTCTCTAATCTTATCATTACTTATGCCCATTAGTATTTAGCACGGAGAAGCGATTACCACCTTCAAGTAGCATCTTATCCGAGTTACCGAAATTCATCCTGGGAAGGATGAACTGACTAGGGTGGTGACACTAAATACAGCGCCAACCACCATCGTTACACCAATTCATATTCTGGCGGTATTGCCAATCCCTGAAGAAGAGAAGATAGAAGGATGATCACCAACAAATTGCTGATGGTGAGCGGAATGTTTGGGATTTAAGCAACTTCCATGACTATGACTATCGACATCGCTAGTCTCTGTAGCTCTCATGTTTCTGTAAACACTTGGAACAAGAATTTTTTGTGTACTTGTCATGTGTTAGATTTCGAATAATAACGTCGCTTGGAATTTTCCAAAGTTCTAACGCCTTGTTTATTCATAGAATTCTCGAATCTTCTGAACTTTTTCTTCTGCGCTTCATGTAAAATTCCAGTATAGTAACAATGATGCTTTGTTACCAGTTAAGTAAGAGGCCGAGTGGATATATAAGCAAGCACGCAACGAGAGCCGCCACGGAACGAACAAGCTTTCAGTTTCGTACGCGTATTCAACAGACTTGTAGGCTCATGGTAATTTTCTCTATCAATTAATTATCAACCATCACTCTATACAACAACCACATTATCCGGTATTACACGCAGTCAGTTTTACTCATTATACGTAGATAATTTAGCCAGACTCAGCAACAATAAGATAATAAGCCAATATATGTAACAACTGTTTTAAACGCGCTATAGTTCAAGCAGTCAAGAGTGCTGATTGAATTCCAAGAAAGATCAGGAAATAAGAAGCGTAATACTTGCGCGCTCATCACAGAATTCGGCAAGACATAACATTTCCGTGAAGTCAATTAATAGAGAAACCATTGATTGAATGCACATACGCGCCAGCCTCGAACGACATTTATTGAAAGCACGTACGCGCCGGCCTCGTAAGGCATTGAAAGTGCAAGTGCACCCGCTGAGATAGGCATTATGCCATTGCAAAGCTCCCGCGAACGGTTGAAAACGAAAAAACGGTGTAAAAGAAAACCCTCGGCTACAAGGGTATTTTGAAGGCGCCAGCGCGACAGCTGTCACAGGCATTACATGAAGAAGTAGTAGAAATTTACGACCTCTTAATTTCAGTGTAACCATTCACCATCAAGTGCACTAGGTTAAGGATCCGAAGATTTGCAACCTCCTACGTCTGTATGCAAGATCTCACAGATTCTCAATACCATCTTAAAATCATATTCATTGTGTAGTTTGTAAGTAAAGGGAAAAAGCAGAAAGATACGCAACTATGTTAAATATTGAATAAATGCGCTAGCAAAATAATTTTAGGAGAAATATCTAGTAAGCTCTAAAAGTAGTTATAATTATTCTTCTAATAAATACAATTGTTAAAAACTGAAAGATAATAAATAAGATATATGTATTTAATAATTGCCATAAGATTTCCATTTCCATTATTATTAATTTATAAAGTCAACTTTAGAAATGTTTGAAAAAATTTGTGAAATTACGGTTAGTCTGTACTTAATAACATTAATTAATGTAGATCTTTTAAAGTAAATAGTATATTAAATTAACAATCAGAATAAGAAATATTGAATAGTTTTTATATATCGCAAACGCATCAACAAAAATAAAACAGTATGGAATTCATATATAGATGGAAGAAATTTTCCTCGACTATCGTTAAGACAAATTCTTTGTTATTTTAATCTGCAATATATATATATTTATGTATTTGTCAAAAAAATGCTTAACTTTTAAAATGTTAAACCTATTTTAAAACCAATATTTAATTATAAAAATAACATACTCAGCTTTCAATTCTTAAATATACTAATTATATTTCAATCTTATAATAATAGTATTAATAGAACGCTAAAACTGTATACCTCTAAATAAGCTGGGTCACCTTTACTTGCATCTTCAAGTTCCAATAACAAAATCTCTAACGTATTAAATGGAAGATACACTGCAGGAGTCAAAGCTAATAATGATGTTTTTAGTCCAAAATACTCTTTACCTTTCCCTAAAATAGCCTTGATATAATCTAATGAAAAGAATGCGGCTTCTTCAAGTCTACCCATTTGAATCATCAATCGAAGAAATTCTGCTGGATTTCGCTTCTAAATATAAAAAAATAGATTTAATGTGTAAAATTCTAAATATATCCGAGAAATTATTATCAAAATAATTGTAACCAATTGCTTTAAATTATCATAAAAACCCATACATAAATATGAAAATAAAAAAATATAATTTTCATAGGTTTAAATTTTTCGTTATTTAATATGTTATGATTTTATAACTTTTATTTTTAATTATTATAGAAAACCAATGAATTTTCATAAATTTAGTATTAAGTAATTTACTATTGGTATTATTAAATTAAGTATTAACTTTATAGTTTATGAAAATGCTCTTAATCCTATCTTTTTAATTTTAAGATATGATGTTTTAACTCTCTTAATTATTTAATGTTAATTAGCTATTATTTGCTCATGCAATATTATTATTTTATTAATTTTGCCATACAACATAGAAATACTGATATCGAAATTTAAACAGAAAACAAAAAAAAATTACAGACAGTTTCATAACAAAGCAAAATTATTTAGCATATATAATACTAATCGCTCTTACGGTCAAAGATAAAAGTTAATACATAAATGCATTTAGAAATCCCTATAAAACAGCAAATAAATTTAATGTACAGTTTAATTATTAAAAATTTATTGTTATTCTTATTACATAAAGAATTCTATGAATTTATAAAATATCCTATATGTTTGAGATTGCGAGACCTTTTTTCAATGCAATATAACATCGTCAAATTTGTGTTTAGATTTCAAAATTTTCTTGCTCGCAGCCATCTAACAATAATGTCATAAAACATCTGGAAAAACAAGACAATAAACACGGGGGAAATCGACTCTTTAGGCATCTGTATGAATTCGATCCGCTGGGTAACTACTTTAAGTGGTATGTAATACATGTTGGCCCCCTTATCGCTGTCAACAAGTTGTCATGCTGTCGCCAGATGCATTAGCTGCAACGAGAGCTCTTCTTGTCATGAAGACCAAGAGACGACTAGGGCCTTAATTAACTATAAGGCCACAAGAGGCGCTGCCCTCGCTCTATAAGGGAGGAGTCTTTGATTGGACGAAAAATAAGGGAAGGAGTTCAAGTGAAGTTCATGGTCAGCAAATGTATTTAAGGGGCTCATTTTTCAATATTCATCAGTCTTGATATAGTTCTTACTCAAATAAGTGTCAAATGGAAATCCATGAACGCTGTCAAGGGAACAGTGATTATACGTCCTAGAGGCACGACGACATATGCACTTATGTCCACTAACGCAGTTCAAGAAACCGTCGTTACATGTCATAGGGAGCGACGACAATCCGCATATTAGAGTCGGAAGACAAGTCAACGATTAGTCTTCATAAGAAGTATTACTACTACAATAATTACATACTCTGAGATTCAGAGATTATGAAATCAACAAGCAACTAAGGACGAAGAGGCTCTCCCCAGAGCAACAGTGCGGAATAGATTCCAGTACGCGTCGCTAAGTTCGCGCCCGCTAGATGGCGTCTTGTCGGCAAACCCTCACCTTAGTTCAAAGTCGGACGCTTATGAACTTACGCACACGTCATTCAACGCTCATAATAGCCGCAGTGCGTAGCAGTATCCTTCACAAGGTAACCCCTTCAAACTTACTTCCATTTGACTTTATTGCAGTGCGCAAACATCAAGACAAGGTACGCTTGCTACGATACGAATACACAACACTACATATGTCGCGTTCAGTTACAACCATAACCTCAACTACGCACGCGGTCATCCAAACAGCGCGAGTGTCGACAAATCAAACTTTGCGACATTCTGCAATTAAATTCAAACATTACGCTGCATAGATGAGTGTGTACATTAATCCACCACGAGAATTATTTCCATAATTAATAATAGTAATACTAGTCAACCTTGTTATAAATAAATAACAGAATAAACAGCATATACATTAGCCATATTTATATTGTATTATTATAATATCCCTTCCATTTGTGACCTTTCATCGATATCAAACAACACCCGTGGTCTCTGAGTTGTCAACGGCATCAATTTGTATTCTTCGAATCGGCCTTGGTAAAACAAGCCGGAACGGCGAATACATTTTTTACACTAGAACTATATAAATATTCTCCAAATTAGCTAAAGATAGTATTAAAATAATTTAGAAAAGCATAATGTAACAATTCTTTATTTTCTATTAAAATTAGTCATACATTTTTTAAAAATAAGCAAGAAAAGGAAAAAGATGTAATTTAGTTGTGATGACTTTGTTTCACAATTTCAACTTTCAAAAAATCGTTATAATTTTATTTCTATACTTATATTCGTTATGAAATATGTATTTTTTAAATTTAACTATAGATATTACAACAAATATGAAAAATGAATAATCGTATTAAGCTATATTAATCTATACATATATATATAATTTAATAAGAAACAGTAACAAGAAATTTTAACATGGACATTTTTTTAATAAAAGGCGATCGTAATCTTATTAAATAAAAGTATATATGCGATTTTATTGCAATAAAATAATGAAAAATTGTAATTTAAGTTAATTAATACTAGTAAATATTAGTTTGATAAAACAATAATTTATTTTATAATTTCCAAATCTATATTTAATGTAACTAAAAAATATTTATATATATATATGTATATATATAATTACAATAAAAATGTTGCTATTTTCGACTATTTATGTAAATGTATAAATATGATTAACAGATACGCACATAAAGGTAATTTATATTTTATAGAAAATAGGCTGTGATCGCAAAATTAATCTGGTGTACATTTGTGATAGAAGGTAACTTATATAAGATTGAACTTAACATTATGACTAATAACTTAAATTATGACTAACTTAACTTAATGAAAATATGAAACGACAAACTGAAAATATTATGTTAACTTTTTATTTCAATAATATCTATGATGAATGAAAAGTGCTCAGTGATGAGTATCAATTTTTCGGTAAAATAAAACATAATATATAATTTGATTTCTCTTTCTTGTCTTCTTTTTATGTTATTGAGCATTATTTTTTGCGCCTACATTGATATTCTTATTCCTTCTATTTTATACTGTTTGTGTTAATATTTTCTTTAATTTTTGTTTTATTTTATTTTAGCGATCGCTTTATTTTAATTTTATTTCTTTTTTTTCTTTTTTATTTATAATAATTATAATAAGTTTGTAATAAAAATTCTTATAGTTTTAATTTAAATTCGTATAATTACATCATACATACAGTAATCCATGATATGTTGATTATAAATGTCAAATTATTTGACACTAGTTGATTGTTGCATTTATTTTTTGTTCATAAAATACTATTGCATTTAATATTATCATATATCTTCAGAGTTCCTATTTATAAAAAATTTGTTTTTTCCTTATTCTGTATAAAATAAGGATTTTTATACGTATGATTTACTACATTGTGAAGATCTTAAAACTCACAACAGTGTTTGTTTTTATAGTTAATAATATAGATATACATCTCTTCATTTTCTAGAGAACTTTATATTTTAGTACAAACGGAAAAGATTATTACAAATAATGATTTTGTAAAATTCATTGAATCGAGAAAATGAACGTGAATCATTATGATCAAATGCATTTAAAAATTTCAGCTGTATCAATATGTATAAGTTACTTATATGTATAAGTGTCATTAAAGAAATATACTTCACTCTGTTGCTTATTACATTTCTTCTCCCATTGTTATCAAGAATTTTCACTATATTATTATTATTCTTCTAATCCCCTTTTTTATTCGATTACTTACTCTTCCCTCGCATCTTTATTTAGTGGTAGTTTTATATAATATATTGTATTTACATTTTCTTACTTTTTGTTTTCACTATTTTTCCAATGCAGCTTCATTATTATTATACATTAATAAAACTAGAATTGGATTAATTTAATTATTGATAATGTTTAAAATGTTTGGAATTCCAGCCACCAGTATGATCGCAGATCACGGTGGATGGATTAGACCGTACCACCGGTTAAATGGTGACGGAGGGCGGGATGAGTGAGAGGTTAATACATTAACTCAGAGCCAACATAATTGGTTTTTAGTGACCTTCATTTAAGTAGTTATTACAGTGATGTTGGTGTTACTGATTGTAGTGAGAATTGTTGAGTTTGCAGTAACTAGGCAGTTATCCGTTAGGAACGTCGTCTGGAAGTGCAAGTCTAAGAAGGTAAATTTGGAGTACTGAGCACGTGCTTTAGTCCCTAAATTAAAGAAGTCTCTCCAGTTCGAGAATCATTAAATATTAGATTCGACTATGGCTTTTTGGAGAGCCCTGTTGAGCGTGCGACTTTCTTGATGGCAATCAATTTTATGGCTCGTTGTTCGGCCCGCGAATTTTTGACATTCGGTGACAAATTAGCAACGCATTGTTCGGTTCATGAATGCTTAGTCGCTTGAGTCGGAGCTAGAATTGTACTGAGCGTTGTCCGGCTCGCGACTACTTAGGCGTTTGAATCGGCGATAGATTTTACTGAGCAAGATTCGGCTCGTGAAGGTAGTGGAGACTATTACGAATTGTCAACGCCCGTTTATGTGGTTGGATCAGAACCACTCGTTGCGGTGTGACCGATAATATGATCGCAGTGCCTTAGTAATGATTTGGCGGGTACCACCAGTCAGTATCGGCGCCGTCTTTAGCGGACTGATAAGAGTCAAGTTGCAAGGGCCTAATCGATAGTGTAGGTGCGGGCCGCGAGTGTATCGATAAATTGGCGGGGACCACTAGTCAGTATCGTCGCCCTCTTTAGCGGTCTGATAAGAATCAAGTAGCGAGGGTCTAACCGATAGTGTAGTCGTGGGCCGCGAAAATTACATATAGTATAAATAAGGTGCTGGAAATGCCAATCTATGTCGTCGTCTTCAATGCGCTCTGACTAGCGCCACGTTGGGGAGGACGCACCGATAGCTGACCAGCAATAATAATAATAGAATAATCAATGTAAATAATGAATATACCTTGTACGGATAATGTATCAGAATCGTATTATAACAAACAATAAATTGTTATTTTTTGTTAGAATCCTGAACAATAACGCTATAAATTTATTTAATATTATTTATTATCAGTATTAAAATATTCATAATTATAATTTGTACATATGTGGTTAGAATTGCAGTCATCCAGTGCAGGACCAGAAGGATTGTATTAGACTGGACCACCAGTTTACTGGTGGATAACAACTAAGGATAAATAGAAGGGGTGCTGTTTCTATTCAGTAATTAACAAATCTGTTCTTCTGTTGTTTGTTGCGTTTATTGTACGATTACACTATAATGATTCTTAGTTCGTAATAGGAGTTGTTATGATCTTTACAGTTCTTTGGTGATTTCCAGTTGGTGGTAACATACGCTATATGTTGAGGTAGGAGGTCGTAAATCTCAGGATCCTCTTGACGTAGTGCGATTGGTGGTGGGTTACAATTCTGAAAAGTGAGGGGTCGTAAATAATTGGTGTAGTGCTACAAATTAGGGTTGCGTAATGGTGGGACAAGGGTTGCATAGCAAAACAGGGCTATGTAATGGCGCTGCAAGTGTGCATGGTTGCACCGCAAAATAGGATTGCGTAGGATGTGAAGATAGTGTGTGGTGATCGTATTAGATATTACTTGTAAATGCCGTGTATGTTTTTTGGGCTTACTGGTCGAGGTTGGAGACAGAGAGTCTGCTTTATCAAGATGCATCAGATTTGTTTAATCTGTAGGAGTGTAGGGTGCTGCAATGCTCTTGCGGTAACTTCTCCTTGTAGGTGTAATTGTTGAATGCTTGTATAAATGATAGCGTGTGCTTTTCTTGGCGGTTCAGATGATAGTAGCCCGTTGACTACGCACACAAAGCGGAAGGCGTATTCACTCCGTGGTGGACCTGCTATTTAATGATCCGGCTAAAACAGACAGTGTTCAGTGTCGTGGCATCTTCACTAAGAGAGAGAGAGAGAGAGAGAGAGAAAAAGAGTTAAAATCGTAGCGTGCTTGCTTTATATATCCACACGACAATTTAGGTAGATGGCAACAGCTAGATGTTGCCACACAAAGACTAGACTAACTTGCGAAGTTCGAAAATAAAGCTTTAGAAGTATCGAGACCACTGTGAAAACAAAGCTCTAGAAAGTAGAATTCCAATTGACGTTGCTGCGTGGAGACCAAAAAAATATTATAGAACATTTGAAACCAAAGCGTTAGAATATTCGAGATTTGTCGGACAAAAGTTCACAGAAATTAATGAGCTAGGAGAGTAAAAATTCCGAGGGCCATTTGCTTATTACAAATATTTGTTATATTATTTTAAATTTAGATAACAAATAATATTTCTATAAAATTAACATATTTTAATAATTATTATTCACATACCGCATATGAAGAAAAAAGCCATTCTGGTAGAAACGTACCACAATGAAATAATTTTCTAGCCACTCCTTTATGTAATATAGTTTCTCCATTCTTTTCATGTGTAAGTGTTAAAAATTGCAATAATTGCCATGCAATATTACATATATTAAATGTAGATATGTTTAAGTCTGAAATAATAAAAATTTTACATATATTTTTTAAAGATTTTAAAAAATGTTATACACGTTAATATTATAATTTTTCAATTGAAATATTTTCAAAAAAGTATATAAAATTAAAAGATTGCATATATCAAAATAAGAGGAATTCTTTAAAAAAGTAGTATAACAATTGCATATAATCAATGTGAAAAAGCTGTTTGAACGTTTTCAAATTTGTTAAAAACTGCTTATTATCCTTATTTTCATGATCGTAATTTTAATCAGAAACATTAATTAATAACTAGATAATAAATAGATAATAATAACCTTGAATTTTCCCTTAAGAACTACCATCTATAATTAAATTAATTGTATTTAGTTTTATTTTGTAATATTTTTTTAATGTATCATTATTACATTCACACATTATGAGAGTTTATATTCATAATATAACAAATGAACAGAGATCAATTATTAAATGTATACAATATAGTCTGGGATCAGACTAAAAATCTCCTTATGATGGTGGGTGGAGGCTTGCTGGCAAGTGGAAGGGGTAATGCAATTATTCAATACTGCCTTTAATGTTTATAGTCTTTCCTTTTATTAAATATAATAAATAACGAATAGTTAATAATCTATGAATATCGAAATGAGTGTATGATAGAATGAATAGATGAGTGTTTCTTCATTAATGTTGGTGGCGTTAAGTCTGTACGTGTATTCTTGATAGCCTGGAGCGTGATTCCCCTTCTTCCTTTGGGTTGAGTTGTTGTAGTGGGAGCCTCGTGGTGGTAGGGATAGCAAGTTGGTGCCGTCTTAGCAGGCGGCGTGGGGTGAGCTATAGTGTACGGAGTGGTGGGAGAACGTCCGTGTGGCGTCACTGCTTGTGTCCGTGAGCTCAAATGTAGTCGTGGTATTAGTGCACGTTCGTGTGCTCGATGTGGGCGTAAACCGCGGTGTAAGGGTAAGATGTAAGAACGAGCGTCTATTCGTATCTTACTTGAGTTGGCTGGAACCGCTGTAGTAGTCGTCATTACTTACATGGGGGCGTAAACCGCGAGTGTAGAGTGGCGGTCCTGTCGTGATGGGTGCTTGTTAACTAGTAATTAGTAGTAAGGAACGAGCGTCTGCATTGCTTACGGAGGCGTGGGTACCATTATAGTTGTGGCATCGCTATTAGTTCCTTAGGTGGCTTGATGCTTGCCATGGCCTCACAATGGCGATTGCAGGGTTGGATAGCGTGCCTGATGTCGAGAGTGCGGGATTGGTACTAACAAGAAGTAATCGCGACACGTGCAACTCCTTACATATTCTCGTACGACCTTGATGCGCCAATAGCGCATCGGTAGCTGTTACTATGCCGCTATTTGTCTTGACGTAAATAGGGCATAGCTTTGTAGGGTTCATTTGTTATTACTTCTCGGAATTATAGTCATATATTAGAGTTTTTCGGCTAGAAGCATTCTTTGAGTCCGTTGGCCAATATTTACAAAACAAATGTTCGCTCGCCCACACCTCTCCCACTTTACATTCCCCTTAAAACTGCTGTAATCCGTAACAAATATATATGACTGTTCGGAATTGGAGCATTTTCCAAGAACTTAGGCTCTCGGAAATATATAAGCCTTCTAGCTCTCTAATTTTGTAAATATTTGATTCCGAGAATTCTCTAATATTCCAAAGCTTTATGTTCAAGCGTCCTATAATGTTTATCTGGTCTCCGCATAGCAACGTCCGTTAGAATTCTCCTAGCTTCTAAAGCTTTGCTTTCCCCGGAATGCTTGAAACTTCTAAACCATTAGACTCGAACGTCCTGCAATATTTTCCGCGTAGCAACACCTATGCATTGTTCCAAGCTAAGTAAGCTACCGCTTACTTATGAGATATTTAAAGCAAGCGCACCACGAGACGGTGTTTATAATTACTCAGCCAGGAAGCAAGTCAGTCAGCAAGCTATTCGCCATACATTCTCAAGGTAACGGAACCGAGGAAGGAAGACGCGTCTATTGTCCTGCACTACAAGATAAAGGAGTTGATATTATCACCTTTAAATTAAGAAAGTGCTATACTATAACCACAGTTAATATCCACACGGAACATCCGAAATAGTGAAACTAATCAGTTATACGGAGTATCCGGGATAGTGGAGATTAAACACAGAACAGTCAAAGCTGATGTTTCTCTGAGTAAATCAAGCCTAAATCATAAATCATTGCTAATCCTTACAAAATTAGCATGATGCAATTATTTATATAGTACAATTATACGCACTAATAAGAGTATGCATAATATGTTGCTGATTTTTACAAAATCAACATCAAAGAACATCTTACGTAGGCATACTTTTCACTACAGAATCAGTTCCGGCAACTGAATCAACGTGATTGAACATAGTATATACCCTTCCATCGCATAATTCCAACACAATAATAATATAAATCCCTTCCACTTGATCAAACTTGGCAGTTCAAAATCACACACTTTCGAACATTTGATCCTTCGAGTCGAATCACTGAAAGATAATGCATCTCACCAGTTACGTGCACAGTGCAACTTCGAAAATTCAAGTTACATTTTCAGCACTGCATACTACGCGACACGTGGCACTACACTAACGAGCGGCCGGAGATTTACGACCTCCCACTTCTTTGTGTAGTAACCCACCACTGAGAACATCGCAAGAAGAGTTATCGGGAGATTTACAATCTCCCACCTGTTTGCAGTGCGAGCAGACAAAACAATGGCTACCAAGGAAAGTATGGAAGAAAAAGACACAAAGAATTTTAGAAAATCCACCCTCAAGAGTGCCGAACCAACATACTTTCCCCTTTAACTTGAGATAATCGCTAAAAATCAATGGACTTGCATCTCACTATTGATGAACCTAGCTGAAAAATATAAGTCGGCACATAGCGATGACGCTCAAAATGAAATTTTAGATGCAAGTTCACTTATTGAGGAGTTGCAAACGGCCTTCAACAAGGATCCAGATTCCAAGGAGGCCAGCTGCTGATGCTAAGCACGACATAACAATAAATATTTACATTTTATGAAATATTAAAATTGGAAACAATCACGAGAATGAATAAATTATACATCAGAGTCTTTACTAATTTGATTAGAGTAATAAGTAATTAAATTTTTATTATCAATTATTCATTTTGATATGTATGTTTAATATTTATTAGTTTCTAAATATTTAGAATTTTCTAAAAACATATGATTATTTTTTAAATTGAATAAGGTACATACACAAAAAATTATTCAAATTTTAAAACGCACATATTTATTAAAAATAAAATTAACAAGATCTATTTATATCCTTCTGGTTATATGCGATATTAAATTTTAAATACATAAATATGAAGTATTCTTGTAGTATCTTTTCAAATGAAATATTGAAAATATTTAAAACAAACAATTCTTTCAATAATTTATTTTTAAATAGATATCTCTTATATCAATGAATCTGATTAATGATTGTAAATAAGTTATGATCAAAATTTAAAGAATAATTTACTTCTCTATTTTTATTATGAAATTATTATAAAGTAAAATATTAAATTTATAAAAATAAATTTCTTGTAGCTTTCCTTAAACATATTAATTTTTTTCTTGACTACGGCTTATTTTCCAGTGAGCTTTTGGATTTGAAATATATAATTCTTTCATTTCAATAAATTTTAGAGCTTATTTATAGAAATAATTAATTATATATTTTTCATCGAATTCATATAATCTCTTATGAATTATGTGCGTATTTGTAGTAAATAAAATATATATGTAATGTTTTTAATATGTATCAGCATCTACTGTCATTCGTATATCATTGCCACATTTATTCTTTATTCATTATTATTATTTTCTTGAATCCAAATATAAGGTCTAAATTTATAAAAGGGGTAAAACATTAGATGTTTTGTGCATATATAAAAGCCATTTGAATAGATGTATAGATGAATATAACTTAATAGTATTTATCAATCGTAATTTAGTTTTAGCAGTGAATCATGAAGTAATAATTAGATAAATATAATACACCCTTTTATGATCATCGATTGGTGACTATTCTTCTAAGAGAATCATAAAACAATTGAAATAAGAAACATTCAACAAACTAGCTATGAAAATAGATACATAAACATTATACTATTTAAAAAAAAAAATTTTTTTTTTTATTTTTAATAACTCTAAAAAGAATGTGATATTAAAAACTCCTACACTTATATCTGCAATCTGTAATATTTTGCAATTACAGAAATTATAAATTTTCTCCGAAATTTGACACTAGAAATATTATAAAATAATATTTTATATAATATATTATACAATAATAATAAAAAATGTCAAATTCAAAAAACCTTAACGAAAAAATAAATATAGAAACGACGTGTCACAAGGCAGATAAAATGTAAGAATTAAAATTTATTTTAAAAAGAATAATACTATCGATAAAAAAATTAAATATATACAAACCAAAAATTTCATTTTGATTGAGCCAATCCCATGCAGTTATATTATCGTTATTGTTCAATCTAACACACTGAGATGCTATACTTTCTAATACTGGTATTTTGCACAAATTAAAACATTCACATACATCAAGAGCATTAATATATAAACCAGCACTGCACATAATAGAAACAATTTCGGACGGACCTAAGAAATAATAAAAATAAAAGTTTAATATTTGAAAACTTAAAAATTAAAAAATATATAATAATAAAAATATTCTAACATGTTTGCGCTGCAAGATGTATATTTGGATTAAGTCTCGTTAATTTTAATTTAGCATGAGCTATAATATACTCTTCTTTTATCCCTTTTAATTCTAAGACCTCTACTTTCTTTTTAATTCTATATTGTAAAATTTCATTACCACCTGCGCTTCTTTTTTTCCTAAGATTACATTCATCCAATGCATTATGATCAATAACAGGTCGAACGATCCATCTGTATTTATTATTTGCCAGAAATAATGCATTAATACAAGCTAATAGACAATTAGTATGTTTTAAAATAATTGACAATGAATGAGGTTCTTGATTTAAACGTATTGCTTGTTCATACATTATCGATGCAGCTATAAAAAATATACATATTATTCACAGTTACATACGCGCGTGCGCGCGAGCACACACACACACACACACACATATGTGTTTATGTGTGAATGTACAAAGCTTTTTATGTATTAACATATATTCATATACATAAAGTTTATGTAAAAAATACATATTAAAATTTTATATAAATTCATGCACCTTTTCTCACATTTCCATTATTGATATAAAAACTATATAAAAAGTCATAATAATTATTTTCCATTAAATCAACACTTCGAGCTCTAGATTCCATTATTTTTTCGAGATCTTGATACATATCTACATAAGGAAAATCTATAAGATCTATTAATTTTTTTCGGTTAAATAAAGTTATAACTAATTGCCGCAAACAATCAACACGACGTGCAGCATCTGGATTGGTATTTAAACAATTGTAAGCTTCTATATGATGTTGCAAATTCAGATGTTGTGTAAAAACTATGGAATGGAGTGTTGGTAAATTCGGATCATCTTTTTCAGCAATAGTCATTGCGGTCATCGCTAATTCAATTATGCAATCTGATGCATTATGTTGTTCAAATAATTCTATGACTTTTAAGTAGTAGTGAATAAGTGCACCACTTTTCGAAACTATATGAGTTGAAAATAATTTACATAAGTAATCATCAATTAAAACTCCATTTGAAGCTCTTAAAAAATGATCACACGCTTTCTGTGATTCTCCCATCTCTAATAAACTAATTCCAAGAATAAATTCTCTTGAAGCACCATTCCATTCACACCATGTACTAAGTAAGCGAACATATTCTTGCAACAGCAAAAATTGACAACTACATAAAAGCCATTCAGGAAAAAAAAAGTTACCAGATATTGGCCATCTGTAATATTTATTATATAGATTAAGGATTTCAATAAAATATGTGAAAATGTGTACGAAATAATAATTTTATCTCCATAAAAATAATAATTGTATGTGCACATTGCAAAGGATACATTAATTGAGCGATAAAGGTTGCCAGTGTTAACATGCCAGAATGCCAAAAAATTATATTTGAAGTATCAATATTAGTATGATCAACTAAATTATATACATTATATTTAATACAATATTGAATAAAAAATTCTAATAAAGAAAATGATCGTCGCTGTTGACCAATGCATGATCTGCCATTTGGTAATTTTAAAATAGCAAGACGCTGAATGCTTATTTCGCTGAAATATATACAAAATTCTTTGTAAAAATTATATAAGATATTCAAAGAATAAAGTTAACTTACAGTAATGCTTGTGATGGTATGACCGATGTACTCGATGAGCATATCCATATAACAATAAAATATGCTTGAGTTAAAACAACGGTCCTTGGCGCTAGTGATGATTTTATAGAATATAAAGATTGCGAATCAAAGAATTCATGCCGTAATAATATAATTTGTTGTAAAATAAGTAAATTTCTACATATAGAAAAGCGTACAGTAGCAATTTGAGTCACAATTTTTGATAATGTTGAAATGCCTAAATGACTACCGAAAAGGTAATTTATATCCTTTAATATTTTAGAATTTTTTGAATATTTTTTATATAATTCCATTTTGTTAGGTTGTCCAAGATCATATGTAAGAGCTTCTAGCAACATGGACATAGCACTTGATATATCTTTAACACTTTCAAGTTTATGACACAATTTTGATTGAAAATCAAAATCTGAAAACTGAATGTAAGTAATAATATAAGAATTCTGAATATAAGTTTTAATTATTTATATAATAGATTTACATATAAAATAATTCATATTATTTATAAAATAAATTATTGTTTTCAACGGATATTTTTAGACATTTTAAATATTTTATTAAATATTTAATAATTAAAAAAAATTTGTTCACTATGTAGTGTTATAAAAATTTCTCCAATAAATTATTAATAATTATTAACATGAAATTGAATTTAATTTTTATAATTTGAATTTTGTATATTGTTTAGAATTCCATTTATCAGGGTCGAGGGACCACGATGTCTGGGATTAGATTATGTCCACTAGTTTACTGGTGGGAGAAAAATGTAGACAAGTGGAAGGAGCAGCGCTTCGATTCAGTATTCAATACGTTTGACGTGCGCGTTATTGCGTTTTATTTTACAACTTCACTATAATGATTCTACGTTGACGATGAGAATCTTTGAGATCTTGCCGTACCTTGGTTGTTGTCATGTGCTGTCAGCATGCACTACTTGTAAAGGTAGGAAGTCGTAAATCTCCGGATCCTTTTCTGATGGTGCGCTTGGTGGTAGATGTTTGCACGGAGAAGTATCAGGCCGTAAATCCCTCGACACTTCTTCGTGTAGTGCTACGTGGTTGTCTCCTCCTTGATGACTTGTAGACTGGAAGTGTGTGTTGGTATTGAATAAGTGAGTCACCTACAACCGCTTTATGCTCTTGGGCACAATGCCTAAGATTAGATGAAATACTGAGAGTGCGTTAGATTACGCGAGTACTTTCTGTGTGACTAGTTCTTGGCTGAATAGCACCGATCTCGTGGTGCGCTTGCCTTAAATATCCACACGGCAGCTTAGTTAGCTAGGAACAATGGATGCGACTGTCGTGCAAGAAACAAAGGAGGCGATTGTGTACTTGGTTTTTTTTCGGATGTAACAGCTTTTTTCGATGTTCGAGATTGCGAGACCCTTTTTAATGTAATATAATGCGTTTAGATTTTAAAACTTTCTTGCTCACAATTTTCTAGCAATAGTGTCATAAAACATCTGGAAAAACAATGCAATAAATACGGGAAACCCCACTCAGTTAGACATCTGTACGAATTCGTTCCGCTTGGTAATTACTTCAAGCATTACTGCGAGCGAACCTAAGCCTCCTTCCCGCAGCCGCCAAGCTATCTTGCTGTCGCCATGCGTCAGCAGCAACGAGAGGTCTTCTTGCCATGAAGATCAAGAAAAGACTAAGCCCTTAATTAACTATGAAGCCACAAGAGGCGCTGCCCGCGCTCTGCAAGGGAGGAGTCTGATTGGACCAAAAATAAGGGAAGGGGTTCAGGTGAAGTTCATTGTCAGAAAATGTATTTAAGGGGCGCATTTTTCAATATCCTTCACTCTCGATATAGTACACTCATGATACAGTTCATATTCAAATAAGTGTCTAGTGAAAGTCCATTAACACTGTTACGCGAACAGTAGTTCCAAGTCCTGGAAGAACGACATACACCCGTATGTCCATTAACGCAGTTCAAGAAACCGTCGTTACATGTTCAAAGAGAGCGACGACAATCCGCATATCAGAGTCCGGAGACGAATCAGCAATTAGTCTTCGTAAGTAGTATTTTTATTACAATAATTACATATAATTAAGATTCAGAATACGTCTTCGACATTCAACCACGAAGAAGAGGCTCTCACCAGAGAGACAGTGCGGAATACTTCCAAGCTCGTCGTCAAGGTCGCATCATCTGATGCGGGACTTGCCGGCCTTTATCCTCATCTTAGTGAAAAGTCTGACTTATAAATCCACAGCGTGCTAGTCAACGCTCGCAGAAGACCCAAGTAGCAGTATCCTTCATGAGGTAAAAGCCCTTCAAACTTTTACCTCCATCTGAATTTATTGCCGTACGCCAATATCAGGACAAGGTACGCTTGCAACGATACGAGTACATCTCTCAAGTAACAACAGTTACATGTGTCGCGCTACATAACAACCATAACCTCAATTACGCCCGTGCTCATCCAAATAGCGCGAGTGTCGACGAATCAAACTTCGCGCCATTCTGCGCTCATATTAAAACTATCACGCTGCATAGATAAGTATACGTTTGCCACCGCTAACACATTAATCCACCCCAAGAGTCATTTCAATAATTAATAATAGTAACACTAGTCAAGCCTTGTCATCAAATAAATAACAGAATAATCAGCATATACATCAGCCATATTTATATTGTATTATTATAATATCCCTTCCACACAACACCCGTAGTCTCCAAGTTGTCAACGGCATAAATCTGTATCCTTCGAACCGGCCTTGGTAAAACAAGCTGGAACGGCGAATACATTTTGCACACTCGATGTCCAACGACCGTTCGGGTTTTCTCAGAAATGATAACATTCGAAAGATTCTCTAAATCTCGAACACACACACACACACACACACACATATATATGATTTAAAATTACTTAAACGCATTATTATATACATATATAATACATATATAATAGTTATATTTATAAAGATACATTTCATGTTGACTATTGTTTGTGCATTATTTTTGTTACGTGTAACACATATTTAGTAGCTTAAAAGCAGATTCGACTCACTTACTAAAATAATTTGATAGGTGTACCAAAAATTTTACATGAATTTGCTGTTTTTTAATCAATCAACACTTTTATAAATATTTTTAAAAATCACTAATATATCTTTATAATGAATAATTTAATAAGCTTCGTTTTTATAATTAATTGATTTTGATAATTTTAATTTTATTTTTGTACTATTTGCTATTGCAAGTTTAAGATATTATTTATCTATACATATTAATTATAGCCATCTCCTTCAATATGAATTTAACCCCGTGACCTGTTTGTTTCATACTTGTTAAGTCTATCATATATATTAACATACAACTTTTAAACATAATTATATCAATATGTTAATTAATAATTAATAAATAAAATATAAAAAAAACTATTACATATTGTTCGGGATTGAAGCAGTCCCATGAATTTCAAACAAAAGAAAGGCCATGTACGCAGTCCGGCGTACCGCATGTGCGCCTAGACTGACCGCGCGTGCAGCAAGGCTGGCCACCACGTGCGCCTAGGCTGATCCGCACGTGCGGACCGAGGCGGGCACTCGAGAAAATGTTTACAAACAAAACTCGGCAAGTCCGAGCAAGTTTACGATTTGAAATATTATTTACTGCCAGCACTCACAAAAAAGGGACGCCTTCGAAACTTCTAGAAGCTTCGTTTTCTCACGCCAAAGGAAAATTTCTGGAAGGGACGCGCATCGACACTGTTGCCGGCGCTGAAGACGCCGCATGCACATTTAAGCGCAACGCGCCATGAGGCGACGCTCATTCGTAAAGTCACTTCGCTCTCCATCAAGCGTAACTGCCGGTCAGTGCAAGTATACTGTAAAGACGCCGCGTGGCCACATTTTCGGCAGCATAGTAAAGAGTACCCGCGTGCATAGAAAAGATAATCGACAATTCTTTAATAAGTGATTACAGTGAAGCCAATGGAATTGTAATCAAGGGAAACATTACATACACAGCATCGAATCCATCCAACCTGCAGTTCACCAGGTACATATTTATATTAATAAATAAACAAGTCACATCTCTCGCTATTGTCGATCGGGCACACTTACGCTCTCTCGAACTAACCACTCGACATCGTACAGGCCCGCTAGCACACACAGGGCACACTTACGCTCTCTCGAACTAACCACTCGACATCGTACAGGCCCGCTAGCACACACAGGGCACACTTACGCTCTCTCGAACTAACCACTCGACATCGTACAGGCCCGCTAGCACACACAGGGCACACTTACGCTCTCTCGAACTAACCACTCGACATCGTACAGGCCCGCTAGCACACACAGGGCACACTTACGCTCTCTCGAACTAACCACTCGACATCGTACAGGCCCGCTAGCACACACAGGGCACACTTACGCTCTCTCGAACTAACCACTCGACATCGTACAGGCCCGCTAGCACACACAGGGCACACTTACGCTCTCTCGAACTAACCACTCGACATCGTACAGGCCCGCTAGCACACACAGGGCACACTTACGCTCTCTCGAACTAACCACTCGACATGCAACATAACTTCAAAGCAACACAGCAATATCCAAAGAAGCCTTTATAGCAGAAAAATCACAAGAACACATATTTTGAATAATCCAACAGAATTATTTATTTCTACACAACAGTGCAATATTATTACAATTGTTTACACTCATTAAACCTTGTATTTAAAATAAATATATTATATTTTTCAGCCTTGTCCGTTATTGATTTCCTTTAAAATTATCCTGCCGAGAGACTAATCCACTGAACTATTGAATTGGCAGTTCGAGCCATAAGCTAACCCTTTATATCCATAATTGACAGAAATAATAAAACTTCTCTATAATTACTCTTTAAGGTTTCTAATAATTTTCAATTTGTATAGAAATAATTTGATCTCAATTTTCTGTAATAATTTTAATATTGATCTCATGCATATTTTCATCTACTTTTCAAGAAAACAACTTTAGCAATGATTTTAAAATAATATTTCTCATTTTTATTATTATTCGGAACATTACATTGATTTGAACAAACAAATAAATCAATCTAATAAATATATCCTCATTCACAGTTAAACAAATTAAATTAAATTTCTAAATTTTTTAAGTGTTTTATTATCGATATTGAAGTATATCCTAATTTATTTATAAAATAAGACAGATACTTAAATACTACTAGCTTATAAAAATTAAACTTACCTGTTCATCTCCTTCAAATATGAATTTAGATAATAAATTACGTATAATAACATCTGGACCTTTTAAATGATATAGTTTTTTTTCAAAAGTAATTTTAAAGTCGTCCGATAATTGTTCGTCTAAAATAACTAATGCCGACATTAAAGTTATAACATCTTGGCATATCTCAAGATCCTGCGATATAATAGGAGTAGTTTTAAATCTGGATACATAGGATTTTTCGTTGCATAATATCATATGTTCTAATGCCTCCATCGGTCTAAGCAAGGAAAACGAGGATTTTTTAAGAAGAATAATTCCACAAACATTTGGCAATAACAATAGGCCTACCGGCCGTGATCCATTTGAATGATATTGTAGAACGCATGAATAAAATTTAGACCAACATCGATTAACTATTTCTAGATATTCTTCATCTTTCAATTCGTAATCCATGACTTCATTTTGTATTTCTGCTTCTACAGCCATACAAACTCTTTCTTTCAGTAATGTAAGAGATAACTTAACATCTGACAAAAAATTAGACCTTTGATAAATATTTAGAGCACGACTAATGTTTAGTAATGAAAATTGTCCGGGATGAAATATATAATTGATATATGCTTGTCGAGGATCAGTCCCAGAATCGCTAATTATGTAATCCTTATCTGGAGGATGTATCAATACAGCTGATTCCCATTCGTAATTATATTGACTATTTGGTAATGGTAATTTTGTATGTGTAACGGCGATAGTATCAATATCAGTTGTTCGCCAAGTTGCCCACAGACGAGTTAATGTAAATGAAAAGTCTACCAGATGTTGCTGAAAAAGTTTTTATTAAAAAGAAATTAAAAAATAAAGAGTAGAAAATTTCGTACTATGGTATATATTATTCATGATTTGATTAACATACATATTTGTAAATATAGAAATTGATTAGTTATGATGAATTACGAAATAATTAATTTATTTTAAATTATAAATTGCTCTAATTCAACAATGAAAAATTGTTTTTTATAATTACGATAAAATATATCAAATGATTTTTCCATATATTTATGAATAAACTGTAAATATTTTAATTCCTTTTTTCCAAGAAAACCATAAGACCTACATATTTTATATATTACATACAAAAGCTTAAAATTAAAAAGAAAAGCGTACAGTTGTAAAGATATGGATAAATTGACTAAATATATAAAAACTTATTATTTCATATACTCTTTTTTAAATTATATAAGGATAAAAATGTACATATCAGTGGCATATTTCACATCATAGTCATATTTCTGTAAAAATTTAAATAACATTACTTTTTCAGAATATATAATAAATTTCCATAAAATATATTTCTATTTATTTGTTTACTTAAATTAATATTTTATACACGGAATTGAAATTCAGTCTGTTTAAATTTCTAGCATGGATGAAAAATATCAAATTTTGTTGATGATAACAAATGTTAATCATTTTATATTTAATATTTTCTTAAATTATCCGTTAATTAATAATAAAGTTAAATATAATTTAGTATTAAAGTTAAAAATTTCTGATATAAAAACTTTTATTATTTTATCTAAATACTAATATATTTTAAAGAAATATCCAATAATAGCTATTTAAGTATTTAATTTTTCATTTTATGTTATTATGTTAATATTCAAAATATTAATTAACTAAGTAATGAATAATAATAATAATTTGAATACCAAAATTAACTTTAATAAAACATATAAAAGATAAAAGTAGTAATACATAAAAAAAATGGTTACATTTTATTTAATAATGCATAAAATACAATATCAATTTTTTTAACAAAAAAGTTATTATACAATTATTAAAATTCTATCATTTAATCAATTTTACAATATTAAATATTAGTCCTTATTACAATTTTATAATTTATAAAAAATATTTAAAAAATAATTTTTAAATCTTATAAATTATAAAATTAGATTAACAAGATAGATCATATTTTTCAAACAACTAATTATTTTAGTTATTAAATACTTAACATTAATCATCAGAAATATGAAATATTATACATTATAAATAATTGCTTATTAATGTAAAAAACTTCATTATTAATAAAATGAGATAAAATGATATTAGTTTATAGTCAAATTTATGACGAATATAAAATATTATAGCAATAGAAAATATTTTCTATATTTTTGAGCGACTGAAAATATATCTTCTCAAAATCACGTTTTAAAAACATATGAAAACAACTAAAATTGAAATTTTAATTAGTTGAATTTTTTAATAAATTTTATTTTAGATAAATTTTGAGATTTTTTTTTTAATTCAATTTGATCATAATACAATATTAGTTTTTTTGCTTTTAGAGTATTTTTATATATCAATGCTATATATTTTTATACTCAATTTTTATTCTTACATATGTATGTAAAAAAATTTAAATTAACCTCATTTTTACAAAATCAGTTACAAATATGATAAAAAATACCATAAAAAATAAGATATTTTTTTCAAAACCAATAAAAGATAAAAAAAATACTATAAATACTTTATACTTACTTCAGACCCATATAAAGTACAAACCCGAGCTAGTTTAAATCCACCACATTCTTGAATTAATTTCCAAATACAAAATTCTGATCTTATATCAAGCTTCAAATATGTACACAAAAATAATTCATTTTGTGTATTAACTGTTTTTTTTAATCCATGATTTTGATAACTTTGAACAGGTACTCGATTATTTATGGCTACATCTACCACCACCATGCACTGAGTTTTATTACATGACCACATACGTAAATGTCCTTCACGACAAAGTGCGAATAAATAGATATCATTTTCGATTGGATGAATAACTAATGACATAGCTGCTTCAATTTCTAGTGCTCTTCCTCGAAAAGCTGTAGCAATTCCACTCAAAAAACGAGGAACTATTGACTCATGTTTGAGCTCACTAGAATGTACCAAACCTGTAACTGTATCCATACGTACTAATTGTATCATTCCTGAATTATAAGCAATGACAAATACTGCCTCTTCCTGAGGTATAGTTAACCATGATGCCGCTGCATGTGCTACTGGAGAATCTGTAAGAATATAATTAGAAAATTATTTATTTAAAAAAAATAAATAAGTCATATTTATCAAAGAGAATAATAGTTAAAAATTTCATAAGTCTAAAAAAAAAATACATTACTAAAATCAATTTGAAATATCTATATTTACATATCTACTATCTATACTGTTTGGAATTCCAGCCCCAGTATGATCGCAGATCACGGTAGATGGATTAGACCGTACCACCGGTTTAATGGTGACGGGGGCGGGATGAGTGAGAGGTTAATACATTAACTCAGAGCCAACATAATTGGTTTTTAGTGACCTTCATTTAAGTAGTTATTACAGTGATGTTGGTGTTACTGATTGTAGTGAGAATTGTTGAGTTTGCAGTAACTAGGCAGTTATCCGTTAGGAACGTCGTCTGGAACTGCAAGTCTAAGAAGGTAAATTGGGAGTACTGGGCACGTGCTTTAGTCCCTAAATTAAAGGAGTCTCTCCAGTTCGAGAATCATTAAATATTAGATTCGACTATGGCTTTTTGGAGAGCCCTGTTGAGCTTGCGACTTTCTTGATGACAATCAATTTTATGGCTCGTTGTTCGGCCCGCGAATTCTTGTCATTCGGTGACAAATTAGCAACGCATTGTTCGGATTATGAATGCTTAGTCGCTTGAGTCGGCGCTAGAATTGTACTGAGCGTTGTCCGGCTCGCGACTACTTAGGCGTTTGAATCGGCGATAGATTTTACTGAACAAGATTCGGCTCGTGAAGGTAGTAGAGACTATTACGAATTGTCAACGCCCGTTTATGTGGTTGGATCAGAACCACTCGTTGCGGTGTGACCGATAATATGATCGCAGTGCCGTAGTAATGATTTGGCGGGGACCACTAGTCATTATCGGCGCCCTCTTTAGCGGTCTGATAAGAATCATGTTGCGTCAAAAATCAAGAATCAAATTACATGTAGTATAAATAAGATGCTGGAAATGCCAGTCTACGTCGTCGTCTTCAATGCGCTCTGACTAGCGCCACGTTGGGGAGGACGCACCGATAGCTGACCAGCAATAATAATAATAGAATAATCAATGTAAATAATGAATATACTTTGCACGGATTCCCTTAGACGAGTTCAACTTTCACTGATATGACTGGCGCTAGTTTCACTTGAGTTATTCAACAAGACTGTTTCTCTTCTCCATTCGTTGCTTCTTAAATACGATTGCGTACATTTAGTGTTATAAATTCTTGGAGGCTTTAGTGAATTATCTGGAAGGAAGCTTTGATAAATTCAAGAAGTTTCTTTTGTTGCTATGCAGACAAAGTGCGCGGCTAAATTTCCAGTGAAATTTTCGTAACGTATAATTCGAATATTGCACCTTAATCTAAATGTGATATATCGAAATCGTATTTTAACAAACAATAAATTCTTATTTTTTGTTGGGTGGTTCAATCCTGAACATATACATTTATATATATACGTTTGGAAATATTATTTTATTTATTAATTATTTTATTTATTATCTCTACTTATTCATCTCTGTAAATTGAAATCTTTAAATGTGAGAAATATGTAATAAATCTGTAGATATTAATAAAAATGAATTTATACGAAATATTGCTGATAATATTTAGCAAATTCTTTTTGATAAAGCTGATATAACTTATATGAATATATTTGAATACGATGAAATAAATAATTATTAATACAAAAAATCATAAATAGCTATACTATTTGATTGAATAAATAATTAATTATAACATAATTGAGTTTTTTAGATTAATACAAAATTAAATCAATATTTGAATACTCTGTTTATTCTTATGTTCAATTATTTTAATTTGTTCATTAGCAACAAAGATCAGTATTACCAACCAATCTCGGGATGAATTTCTAATATTAATGAAGTCTTTGTACTAAATTTACAGCTGTATGTTCTACTACTATGAAAAAAGTATCTACTAAATCTCAAGTTCATTTTATGTCAAGGTTCCAGCATGCTGATATGATGGAATTGATATGTCGTTTTGGCTTATAAGTATCTTATTAATAAGGACTAATTTTATTTTACATATTTTTTGGCAAAGCAGGAAAGTATCAATTAAAAAAGACCAAAATATTTTGATTTTTTATTATATGAAACTAGAACATAGTAATAGAAAAGGATTGTTTAAATACTTTTAATATTATAAATCAATGAAATTGTTAATAATAATATTCAAAATACTGTTTGAAATATCAATAGCATAAAAATATATCACAGAATATATATTGGTTTTCTATATATTTAAGATCATCAAACTTACACTATTAATTCTCTGTAAAATAGTAATTTCATTAGTTAATATTATAATTTGTCCTTACACTCTTTGGCATGATATAATTATTTATATCTAATAATGTTACTATATATAACAATCATTATGATAATTTTATGATGAAAATTGAAATTAGATTTATTTTGCAAAGTTTACTTTATCCTTTTCCTTGTAATGCTACTTTATTTTTATTAGAATTTTTAGAAATCATTTAAATAAAACCTATAATTATTATTTTGTTTATATATTTTTTTATATTATATTAAGCTATTAGTATTTACTTCCTACTTCATATGTATAAGTTATATGTACATTGCTATATAGTGAAGCCTCTATTAATAAAAGATGGATCAAATATTACCAAACAAACGAAAGATATTATAAGCCTCTTGATGATATTTAAATCATAGCTTATTCTATCTGCAATAATGTGATTATATCTTCCCTTATCTTCAAGGAAACAGATATTTTCAAAAACCTTAGAACCATTATTTTATAATTTCTTAATACCACCTTTAATATCTCTTCGGATACGATTTTCCTTCACAACTATACTGATTTTTAAAGTCTTTTATTTGCAAGTTAACCATTTTATTGAAAAAAATTTGCTATATTTCATTGAAATTTTACTTTTATATTTTCATTCTTTTATACATGATTTTTGTTACTTTCACTAACCAATTTTACTAGTTTCATTTAATTACTTGAGATGACTAGTAATAACCTTTTCTTTAAAGATATATTCTTGATTCAGGAATTCTAACTTCTTGTTTTGAGGTTCCTGTTTTGTACTTCTACTCAATTTTTGTAGTAAATGTTATACTATACTAATTATATACATATCAAATACTAATAACAATCAGATTGATCAACTAATTATTAAAATTATATTAGTTGAAACAAATTTGAGATATATTTAATAAAATCGTTAATATTACTATAACTTTATACATAAAAATTCATAAATTTGAGCGACTTTAAAGTGTTAATAAAATATGAAAAGCCTTAGAGTGAAAACAAATAAGATATTATATTGTTACAAAATCTTTCCTTTATTGTTGAATTGATTTTGTATACCACATTATTTAAATGGTAAAATATATATACAACATTAAGAAATAAAATAATATTTTCTTACTTGTTGAACTTGCATTAGGAATTAAACGAAATATGTGAGGATCTCTAGTATTAGAAATTAATATTTCACTGAAAATTGATTGAAGAGTAACATCAACATGTGATAATAATATTTCTTCCTGAAAAATAAATGATTTATAAATATTTTCATAATTATTCTTTTTCTTAATTTTTATAACATAATATATTGTCTTACTTGCTTTTCAACTTTGCTTGGATGTGGAAACGAAAGTTTATGTATACTTGAAACAGTTACTATTAAAATTATAACAGAATTAATTGTTTCGTGAACAGAAATTCCATCAAGTATTGGAGTATCAGTAAATTTATATCTGATTCTACTATTGATAAGATTAACATCAAGACTATGTTCCACCAATTCTAATACATCATGTATAATACGCCAGAAAATAAAACGGTTTCGTGTAAAATATTTGGTCGAATCTTTATAGCAATATCCTCCAGCTCTTTCAGGTACTTTGATATCTTGTAAAGTACTTTGACTACCACCTATAAAAAGTTTTATTATTATTGAAATAAGTAATAAGTAAATAAGTAAAACATTATTAAACAAAACTTCAATTTTATTTTAAAAAGAAATATAGGTTCAATAATTTTGAAAAAGTTCTATTCATACATAAAAAAACATAAATATAAAAAATTTATGCAAAATTAAATGTATTATTCGATTACTTTGTATCTAAAATAATTAATATTTTTATGCGCAAATATTTAAATTAATTTTGGTATAGATACATTTGAAATCACTAAATGTATACATTTTATAAACAATTTCGCCAGAACGAAAATGATATAATTTTTATTTAAATTTAATCAATTATATTAAACTTTTCTGGATATAAGAATTGTTTTATAAATTCATTAATATAAAATTTATTTTATGTAATATAGTTCACCTGTATTCAAAATAATTTCTTTCCATTTTTCCGGCCAAGTTTGATCGGGTATAATTTCTCGATAACCTAACATATATTCCATTTTATTTTAAATTCAAATTATATATCTATGAACAATGATTAAATGTCTAAATAATATATGTATAAATATACGAAAACACTATAAAATTGCTAAACCAAATTAATATTTATGAAACTTGTGTATTTCAAATAGCATTAATTAACACTTCGATATATTGTTTTTTTTTTTTAATATTATAATTTGTAATCAACAAGTTCGACTAGCCTATTTTTTATCTGTAAAACCAATAATTAAATTCAAAGGTAGATAGTACTTTCATGTTTTATTAAAGATACGTAATAATGGTCTAATATGATTGGTTCTTTATAAAATATTCAACAGAAAAACTGAACTACATATAGAAATAGTAACAATTTGTAATTCAATATAACATTTAAAGAATTAATTTTAATTGCTATAATCTATTTCTACAAAAATAAAATAAATAAAAAGTTATAATTAATTGTAATTAATTATAATTATATTATATATAAAATAAAAAATCTATAAAAAATAGATTCATGTAATATGATTTTAATGATAATATAATAAAATTTTGATAGAAAATAAATAATATATTGTTTAAAGGTATCAGTTTCAATTTAATACAGAAAATAATATTACACCATACTGAAAACAATTAATTTATATTATGATCGAACATGAATGATAAAGTATTTCTATGTCATACTTTTCTATTAAAATACCATATAAATAAAAAAAAATTTAAAACAATAAAAATCAGATAAATAGCATGTGGTATTCGAATGTTTACTCTTTTTTTTTATACCTATATATTTATATAAGTTTGCATTTGAATTAACTGATCTGCAGTGGTGATATATTAGTAGCCTTCGCATAATGACGCATTTAGGCTCAAGTGATCCTGCTAACATTAATAAGACATCTAAAAATATGTACAAAATGTCCAAAAATTATGAATACTACAAAGTAAATTTTTTTTTATTATTATCAATCTATTGAACCTGCACATAAAACTAAATAAGATAACTAATAATAATAAAAATTATGATTACAAAATTGTACATAACAATTTGAAGTGCATTTGAAAACTAGCGCTTTAAGGGTATGGTATAAAATAATTGCTTAAAAATTAAAAAATACAAGTATTGATTTATAATATTTGTTACTTAATAGAAAATTTAATAATCTGATCGTTTGAGTAGTAAAACAATGATGTAACACTATGAATTTTGAATAGAGATCTTGAAATAACCGTTAGTGTCATTATACAAAGTATCTTTAAACTTACACTAAAAAAATAAAGCTTAATATTTTATGAATATACTTATACATGTATTAATTAATAAAAAATAAGTGTTTAGTAAGCGATATTCATGATTACACAAGAAATATAACGTAATCTTGCAATATGGTTTAATTAATGATCAAATAAGAATATTTAAATTTTGAACTGTTTCAAAAAACAGTTTTCTTAAACGTAATTCTGAAGATTGATTATGACTGATTTTTTTTAATAAATTTTTTTTTTCTCATTTGTATTAAAGATACTGTTTTAGTATTAATTTATATAAAACCCTTTAAAATTTAAACGTTTTTCACATTCAATCTATTGCATACACGCACACACACACGCGCACACACACACATATATTAAGATTATTTTTATCTACAAAAATTACCTTTAAAATAAATGATACACTTTTAAATAATTCATTATATAATTTAAATAATCATTATATTTGATATTAAATAATAATTTATTAATTAATACTAAATAAAATTAAGTATTGAATAGATTATTAAGATTTTTCTATTTATATATTTTATAATTTCGAATATTAATATAATAAATATTATTTGTATTTAAATATATTTTAATATAATTAATATGTTTTCAATGCCTACTGCATTTGAAATATCATATTCTAAAGAGGCAAGTAAATATTATTAAATAATAAAATAACAATAAAGTTTTTGCTTTTTTGTTTCTTTTGAAGACCATAAATATGTGTATAAATTTATATTAATTAACACATGCTTCAAAAGGGATATCGTGTAATTTTTATAAAGTAATAATAGTCATTATAAGTAGTTATTTATGACGGTAGTAAATATTTATTAGTAAATATAAATTTTATAAGTTCTATTAATGAAACAGTAATTTATTAATATATAATTATCATCATTTTAAGTAATTATAAAATTTTTAATTAATAAATGATCCAACGCTGAAAATATTAATTAAATTTAATTAAAACAATACTAAAGTAATAAAATTATATTTTAATTTCTTATTAATTATTAATGTTATTTTATATCCTTTTTGCATTTAATAAATAATTCAGTTGTAATATGTACATTATTTTCTATAAATAATACATATTACAGTTCAGTACTGAAAAATCAAACTGGAGCTGATGAAGTATATAATTAGCCGTTTCAAACAATATTTTAAAAATAAAAACAGAGCAATGTTAGGTATGTAGAATTTGTTGATGCAATATTTATTATAGATGATAAAACATTTCAAAACTTAAAATTTAAAAAAAAAAAAAAATTGATTATAATTTCACACTGCACTTGCCCTATTGCAAGTAATATTGGTTATTATTATTATTATTATTATTTATTATTATTTTTTTTTTTATTATTATTATTTATTATGATTATATTACTTATAATAATTCTACGTTGACGATGAGAATGGCTGATATCTTTCCGAACTTTGGTTGTTACCATGTGGTGTTAGTATATACTACATGTAGAGGTAGGAGGTCGTAAATCTCTGGATCCTCTCGACGCAGTGAGCTTGATAGTAGATTATTACACTGAGAAGTGTGACGTAAATCTCTAGACACCTCTTCATGTAGTGCCACGTGGTGGTAACATGATTCCTGGTCACCTCCTTGATGTCATGTGGTGTGGATGTGTTAAGAATTATTCCGGTACCTTGATGTGGCGTTGAGTGGGGTTTACTTGCACTGACTCGTGGAAGCGAACACTTGCTAATCTCGTCCTATAACCGCTTCGTATGCTCGCACATTATGTGTGTGGTTCTTTACTGAGAGTACACTCTGGAACTGCGTGTGAGGTCCCTTACTGGGAGTTTACCTGTAACCGCATTGTACGATATGGCACTATGCGTGAAGTTTGATGTTGAGTAGTTACACGAAACTTTCTTCCTTGTCGTTCCTTCTATGAAAGCGCGTGTTCCTTTCATGGCGTCCCTAGT